CGAATCTGTAGCTGACGTTCACGACACTATTGTGGATGACCTTCCGCCAGATGATGCCGAAGATAGCTTCCATTCTGCTCGATCAGAGGTCAGTGGCCCAAGCACGCCAACTAAGAGTAGGCGAGGAGGTAGCCCTGAAATCAGCGAAGAAGAAGCGCAAGAGAAGGCCGTGAGAGAGATCGTCGTTAACATGAAATGCTTGCATATCGTGCAGTGTATGCTTACTCATGTCTCGAGCAATCTTCAAGACAACACTGACTTAGTTGCAATGCTTAACAATCTTGTCGTGCCAGCAGTTCGCAGTCATGAGGCACCCGTGCGTGAGCGAGGCCTGGTGTGTCTTGGTCTCTGTGCTCTTCTGGATCGCTCACTTGCCGATGAGAATCTGACCTTGTTTATGCACTTTTTCAGCAAGGGCCATACGGCGCTTCAGATCACGGCTCTGCATATCCTAACAGACATTCTCAATGTTCATGGTGCTCAGCTCCTGTCTTCTACGCCTGGACTGCTCAAGGTGTACGTCAAGGCAGTCAAGGGTGGTAACAAAGCACCTGAAGTCCAAGCAGCCGCCACGGTTGCTGCCTCAAAACTTTTGCTTGGGCGCATTGTTAGTGAAGAAGAGGCATGCCAAGACTTGCTCAAGTCCCTCGTAGTCGCCTACTTTGACCCTTCGTCTTCACACAACCAAACCGTTCGCCAAGCGCTGAACTATTTCTTGCCTGTCTTCTGTTTCTCTCGAGCGGAAAACCAGGAGCTTATGCGATCCATTGCCCTTGACGCGATTCACACTCTCTTCAATGTCCGTGAAAGCCTGGAGGACGACGATGTGGATGTTGACGAGGACATGGTCAGCATGACTACGATAGGAGCTTGCTTGGTAGACTGGACGGATCCTCGAAAGTGTTACAGTCCTACAGATCTGCTAGACACTGACAAGAAAGTGGTGAACGGTGATGTTCATCTGGACTTTGCTATGGATATCCTGGAGAAGTTGCAGGGCAACACTGCAAGTAAGTTAAAAAAGAAAACAATCAAGAAAACCACATGCTAATATGTTTTTAGGAGAGGAAAAGAAGATTCTCGCCTCGCTTCTTGGAAAGCTTCACGTTTCACCCGGATCAAGCAAGGAGAAGCTCCGTGAAGCTTACCAAGAGGTCAGCATTGCCGTTGAAGACGGCCTGCTGTCTGATGCTACCAGCCGCAACCAGCTGTACAAGATTCACGTCAGTCTGGGCAAGATCGTCAATACTCTTGATGAACAACAACAGCCGACCTACCGACGTGCCAGCAGAAGTACGTCGATACTTACAGACCGACAGTCAACTGAAGGGGACACCTCCATTGCAGATGAGCCAAGTATCAAGGAGGAAGATGAAGACAGCGATGGTACGGTGGTTCCCAAGGAAGATAGAGAGTCGCTCGTCGATAGTCTCTTGTCGGACGGCGATGACGTGGAGATGACAGATGTCTGAGGAAACAAAGACTTGATGAAGTAACGACTTGGGATTTGGACGAATTGATCATGCATGGGATGAGGCAGATACCTGGCGGCTCGGAACCTGGTTAGAGTTTTGGGGTTGGGCGATGTGTTTGATTTATGTTGTTTGTAATTGTAGTCTCATTGGCAGCTTGTTACAGCTTATGAGCTTTTGTTTGGATCTATCTCTCAAATATTTATACACGAAGATACCCATCATTCGTGTTTCATTTACACTAGTTGCGCGATCCCAGCCAAAAAAGCAGACCCCCGAAGCCGATATTGATCAGCAAGTGTTGACCTAAGCTCCAGGCCATACAGTAAAGATATTTGGGTGAGAAGACAGTCCAAATGAAAAGATGCGTTCTCAACGAAGTGCAAGCTGCCATGACCAACGCAACAGCCGCAGAGACGAATAGAGTCTGCAAGGTAATATATTGCCAAAATGCATTGCGCTGACCCTCATGATACTTGCGGAGTAGCAGGAGATTGGCAGCAGAAGTCCAAAAGATGGGCCCGGCCCAGTTGCTGACGAGGGTGAGAAACCCAACAGCAAAGAAGTTGAAACCACTGATGCCGTTGTATGCGCTTGAAAGGTCGACAGAGCTAATGGCGTTTGAGCCGCCAAAGGCGAAGAATGTTGTGTATTGGAGGAGAATAGAGGTAATAGTAATTCCGGTTACAGAAAGGTCAGTAGTTTGGAGTGCATGGAAGAGAACGTCAGACAGGAGGAAGAGGGGAATGTTTGTAGCACGAGATTGAGTCATGCCAAAAATTGTGTAGAGGTGGTGGAAGAGGTATGCTGTCGTGAAGTTAGTAACGGTAGAAAGACCAAAGGTAGTGGGCAGCGAGTTGTCACCTGATTGCAGTTGCCCGTTCCTACCACCAGTGAAAGATCGGTAGATGCCATATCCAAACAGAATGCCGAGGAGGATGAAAGCGGTTCTAGCTCTCCAAAGCAGTGACTGACCTACGAGCAAATCGTTCAAGCTTTTGGCGAAGCCAACAACAAGCTCAGGTGCATCTTCGTTGGTGAAGTCAAGTTTGAAGCTGTACGCAGACATGAGCAGAACTGACGTGATGCTCGTACTGGCCAGAGACGGGAGACTCTTGAGACGAGCGAGCAGCCGGAATGACATGACCATGTATCCTAAAGTGATAATGACCCATAGAAGCTGCGGATGCGTGACGACGAAGCTTTTGACAATATCTGGATCTCCTGCGAATTTCTGGCCGGTTTGGTTCCAACCTCTGGTGATTCTCAACGCTACAAGAGCAACAAATACCCAAGCAACTTCTTCCAGGCTATTCTTTCTGTCTCTCAGTTAGTACCTTGAAGGATCCCCAATGCTGTGCTTAACAAGTGCATACCTTCGAACATGTAGCACACCCTGAATCACAAGCCAGATGCTCGAAGACCAATACCAGAAGTGCTGCTCCTCCTCGACATAACTACTGGCGTACATCATGGCACCATAAGCTAGTGTTAGGAGGCCAAAGGGAAGAACCTGTCCATCATGGTGAGTCTTGAGACTCACGACCACCATTGCACTTGTGACAGCAGCAATGGCAGCAATTGCTTGGCCGATATAAAGCTTGAGCATATCATAATTGGAAGCCATACTGCTCATCAGATCTTGTGCCCGTCGAAGCCATTGAGACATCTCGTCAAGCCATTCCTTATCCAGGTTTTCACCGGCTGCGAGGACGTGAGCCTCTCTGTTGAGCTTTCGCCATTGGCAAGCCACCTCGTTAATTTCAGTCTGTTCCAGAACACATGGATCAATGTTACTCTCTGAATCGAAGAGCTCACTTCCAAACGCAGCGGTGACAATTTTGAGGATTTGGCGAGCATTTCGGACCAGGATCTGAATTTGATCACTGGTCTTATGCCAGAAGGGGAGGAAGTCTGGAATGAAAGCTCCAAGATTGTTCTTGGAGACTGGGAAGCCTAGCAAAGCAGCAATAGTCGGTGCCAAATCGGATTGCTCTACCATAGAGTAAAAGTCAAACTCATCCTTGGGCTGAGCTGGCGCGGGGAGTTTTGAAGAGATTGACTTGAGTTTTGGGGACATGAAAACCAGAGCGGGCGATGTTTCGCCAGGTGAAGAAGCACCATGGTTTCCAGCATCATTCATACCGTGGTCGCCACATAGGACGAGCAGCGTTGAGTCCAGATGAGGCTTGGTCTTCATAGCTTCAAAGAGAGTCTGGACAACACTGTCCATCTCTTCTTGCTTGGGAACCATGTTAGGACTTTAATCATGTTAGCTCACTTATAATAAGTACCATTTCAGGGCAAACAAACCTTTTGGGTCCAGCTTTGTGTCCAATATGATCTAGACCAAGGTAGTGGAGGACCATGAGTCCCCAGTCATTATTTTCCAGCTCGGGAGCAATGTTTCTGGTGACATTGTTGTCCACTTCAGTAAAGTCCTTTGTCATGTGTTAGTGGTAATCTTTTTGAGTGTCGCGCAAGAAGCATACCGCTACAAAGAAACTTGTAGTCCCATCTTCACGGTCAAAGGTGTTTGGAAATAGCTTCAACCAAGTATCGTCTCCGTACATGAGGAGCTTGCCCATATCATGAGCCTTGATCTGAGCTAACCAAGTGTCCTGAGAAGCCAGGGTTGATGAAGTATCTCCTTCATCGAAATTCAGGATCAGATCAACAAAAGAGGGGATGGAACCAGTTGTCATGGACTTGATTCTGGGCATAGTGACAGTGGGTGATCGAGCATTGGCAGTAAAAGGCATTGCGCTGCCATCTCGGATGAGGCTGGGATCAAGTCAGCTGAAAGTATGGTAAGAGAAGGATTGGATGTATGTAAGTACCTTTGCACATAACTAAATCCCGAGGTGTCCGAATATACAAAGTCACTATTCCAAAGAGTCAATTGAGTGTTGAAGGTGAAACAGGGTGTCATCAAAATTGTACCTTCTCAGAGCATCAACAACCATAAATATTAAACGATCGAACGGCGCATTAGGAGGCGATCCAAAGTCAAGAGATTCAAATTCGGCCAGACCTGGCAGAAATGGTTTATAAGGGAAGAAGCCCAATGCGAATACAACAATTGAGACCGGGATTAGAAGATTGGCTGTGACCAGCAGGAGTGTGCGCAGTAGCGAGCCATTATGAGAGGGTACCATTATAAAAGACAATTAAAGGAGTGACTAAGACGGGCACAGAAGTGAAATAGTTATGGAGAATAAAAATTGTCAAGATTGCGCCATCTGTGACAATTGAAATGTGTCAGCCTCAGAAGGGATGAATGGAATAGATGGACGTGTCGAGATGAGATGAGGGCGCGGTATCCATGTTAAAGTAGGATAGCCTTGCCAAGACAAACTACAAAGGTGGTATTCTACGATTGGTTCAAATCACAGTATGAGCCACACAAGGCTGAGAGGTAAATCTTTTCGGGTATTACAGATTCATTGAGATTGACTTAAGATTTTGCTGCTAAACGCCGATACAGTGAAAAGAGAAAACAGAACCTGGTAAACGGAATCATCCATTTTAAGCACTCTTCTTCTTGCCCTTTCCCTTTGATCGACTGCCATAAGACTTGAAGGTAATCTTGCAAGATTGTTGCTTGCGCTTATCGGGGCGCTTCTTCTCAATACGGCCACTTGAAGGCTTCTTGACAGAGTCCACATCCATTGCTGAATATATTGTTAGTAACTGAACAAAACGAATAAAAACATTTTAATAAAACTCACTGGTCTCATCTTGAGCATCCTCGTTGGATTCGTTGGTCTCATCTTCTTGAGCTGGGGGAGAAAAAAAGGTTAGCAAAAGTTTTGTCAATGTTATCCAAGCTCACACTCACTGTTCATGTTCACATCTAAAGACTCGGGTTTGGGCTGCTTGGCCACTTCCAGGAGTTTGGCAGAGAGGCGCTCATTTCGGGCAGCCTCAGCAGGTCCAAAGACATTCTTGACAAGGCGCCTGTTGTTGGCCTTTCTGGTGCTTGCTCGTGCGCTCTTGGCCATTTTGACGATATGGTTGAATTCGAGATGGTAGAGAAAAAAGTTGTTATCAGTCTTTGCTGCTAAGAAAAAAAGTTGGGACGGTCTAGACAGAGGGGCGGCACACTACAGACTGAAGGTTGTGGCGGACTGTGGCTGAAGTACGGTCCCTGAGACATGCTGAACTGGAAAACCCCTTGCGCTGCCAGCTAACACCGCCTTCTGTTTACAGTGCCACTGCACAACCAGGCAAGCATGACATAGGTAGCGTGAGAAGGCGACAACGGCGACAAACTCAAAAGCACGCGTAGTTCTTTATTAATTCGAGTATATTCTCGTTCTTGGGTACCAAGGTGCGACCGTGGGTTATTTATTGTGCATTCGCGACTGCGCTTTTCCACTTTTGTGGCAGCTTATATATCTTGCCTCCCGTTCTTCACTCAACCAACAATCGCTCGCTCACGGTACCTCTTTCCGATACAGGCTGTAACAGCCTGCGCATCTGCCTTGGATGCGGTTGCCAACTGCGACCACCACAACCATTTTTCAGGCTTCAAATCGGCAGGAGCTACTTCACTTCTACCCACGTCCACCCCTTCTCGACACCGATCGATAACCAGCACGTGGCACCCTCAATATGGCATCCTCAGGACTAGGCTCGATCTCGCATCCAGCCTCTTCACAAGGTGGTGGAACTCTGCGGCAAGACGCTGGCGCGCTCGCACGGCAGGTTAATCGCCTACTGAATCGCCAGCTTTCGTCTGTATGCCAGGTCAACGGCGTTAAGAGCACTGGAATCAAGGCGGAGCTGCAGGGCCGCATACATAATCGTAAGTTGGGATCAATTCACATACAATTTCGGTCTCCCCGGAGGCTTCACTGAGCAAGCGGTACACCTACACGCTCGCGCACTTTGGTTCTCAATCACAATCTCAAACTACTCTAAACCGCGACTAAATGGCTAATTTGTCACGTTATTTAGTCATCCAAGAGGCCGTCAACGCCAACGACCCTCTTCGTCTTCAGCAAATTCGCCAAAGCGTGCATAATACTATTTCGAATCCGCTTGTCAGCTCTTCGCCTTCTCGAACGACTCTCGCGCACTCGCATAGCCATGCTCCCTCTGCACCATTCAGCTTGTCCAGCATGTCATTCCCCAATACCCACAGTAGCCTGTCTAATGGTCAGCGCTTTGGCGGGTCGCAAACAGTAACAGTTACTTTCAAGTCGAGCCCGTTTTACCAGATCGAGGCGACTGTTGGTGACGTGAAGGTTTGCGATGGTAAGTCATGCGCATTTTTTTGTGATAGATTCGCATACTAACCTTGTCAAGTCATGTCGCAGCACCGTAACACGGTATCCTACCCCATCAGAGTCGAAGACCATCCTTATCTACAGAAGTGTGTCGACAATCCTTCGTACCGAGTGATGATCTTTTGCGCCGGAGAGAGCTTAGGGACGCAAGAAGTCGCGTTCCCCCATCAGTCGGAGCTCAAGGTTAATGGTGGTGAGATCAAGGCCAATTTGCGCGGCTTGAAGAACAAACCTGGTTCTACTAGACCGGTTGACATCACTAAAGCGCTCAGGCTCCGTCCAAAGTACACCAACAACATTGATTTTACATATGCGTTGACGTCCAAGGCAGGTCCCAGTCAAGTCATGATATCACATTTCAGGTCTAACAATGTGCAGAAATTCTACCTTGTGGTCAACATCTGCAAGATCACTTCTGTTGAAGAGCTTGCAGGTCGCATAGCTGCTGGCAAGAGAATATCGATCGAGTCTGTGAAGCAAGAACGTAAGTAATGAATTCAATAGTTGGGAACAACTCTGACAGGCGAGCCATAGTCAATGCCAAAGCACAGGATCCCGATGTGGTAGCAACTTCCCAAGTTCTATCTCTCAAATGTCCGTTGTCATACATGCGCTTAACGCTTCCGTGTCGTGGCTTTACGTGCACACATCTACAATGCTTTGATGCTACGTCGTATCTTCAACTGCAAGAGCAGGGCCCGCAATGGCAGTGCCCCATATGCTATAAATCTGCTACTTTTGATCAGTTGGCAGTTGATTGGTAAGTCGTTTATCAGCAGCTGCTACACGATATTTTACTGACCGCAGAAACAGTTATGTGAAGGATATCCTTGCAAAGACATCCAAGAGCCAAGAAACCGTGACAATCGAGCCTAACGGCGACTGGCATACCAAGAGCTCTGAAGACAGCAGTCAGGGGCAGACGAACGGCAACGCTTCACATCAAGGCACTTACGACGATGATGATGACGACGACGACCTAGTAATATCAGAAGTTAATCCCATCAGCCATCGTCGTGTGGAAACGCCCAAGAACGGCACCCCGAGTATCAATACACCTGGAACTGCAGGTCGAGACAGTTCATCTGCTGGTCCTCGAGGAATAGCATCTACCAGTGCCAAACGGCCGGCGGCCGCCATCATCGACTTGACCCTCTCGGATGATGATGATGATGATGATGACGAGCCAGCTCCCCCCACCAAGAGGCAGAACACTTCAACGAATGGATTTTCGGGATCGAACGGTCTATCTGGTTCCTCTCCAGTGTCCCCTGACGGTTTCGGGTATCTGTAGGATAATGCCCAGCCCAAAGGAAGGAAAAGAAACAAGGGGCGGAGGCGCAAAACTTATTAAAGTTTATTTCAGCAGTTAATTGTCTCTGGGGACAGTCTATCTAACTGCTTGGTTAGCAACCCCGGTGTTGGTTGGTGATTTTTACTTCAGCATGATCTGATATGGCGTTGGAGGAGACGGAAAATATTCCCATGTCACCAAAAGACGAGGTGACTCATTATACCGGCATTGCAATTACGTTTATTTTTCGCGAGGTGTAAGGGAGTAATAATGCGATAGGGGGTTGAATCGTTAACGACCGAATCCCATTTTTGCAAAGTGTTAGAGACTGAGGGATAGGCTTCGGTTTTTTCCAGGGGTAACAAATGGAAATGCATTATATATACATACGTATAATATCTACCGTCTAGCGAGGAGCCCTGAAACTACAATATCTATTATAACCTCGGAATTATCATGAATGGATTGTCTGCAGAAGATATAGTTAACGATCTGCAATTAATTAGTAAGATATTATTCGGGTATTGGTCCCGTCTGTTGATGTTCTGCTTCTAGTCGAAAACGGTCAGAAATTTGCAGCTTTGTAACCTACTTCAGTTGGTTCACCCGTGAGAGGAACCAGCTGTATTAAGAGGAAGAATGTTGGTGGTGAACTAACTATGTAGACTAAAGTTTACCTACAACCAAACTTTTTTTCGACTTTTCCTTTCCTGCCCCGCGCTCCTTCCTAACAAGCCCCGCGTTTGGAGCCAGCCTTATCGGTGCCGTCTTATCAGAACGTGCTTTTGATGACTCAGCCCTCCTATCGCTCAGTCCGGGGAGCAGGGAGCTTTAGCATCACGTATACATCCCTTGAAGCTCGACAACACCAACATCCCACGTTAGAACAGTCAACGACTTGCGCATTCCTCCACTAGGGACCAAATACAATCTTCATTTATGTTCGCCCGCTGAAAATCAAATCCATACCCCGACCGAACCGCCCATCATGTCTTTTGAACCTGTCATGCCTCCTTTCAACTCGAGCGATCCATCCGCCAACTTTCTCAGCTCCTCCTGTCTAGACTTCCTACTCATTGAGCTTGTGCCGTTGGCTTACCGAGTCACTCATGATCGAGACTCCATAACCTCGGAACAAAACAACACAACTGCAGATGCTACATCGACAAGCCATGCGGTCAGCTCTAGCGCTGCTGGAATGATGGCCGGTGCTGCGACAAGAAAGGATGAAGAGGAGGATCTCGATGCGGTACATTATCGCCTAGAGATGCTAGGTTACCGAGTTGGCCAGGGTTTGGTAGAGAGGTGTGCATCCATTCTCAAGGCATTTGCGCCATGATGGCTTACAAGAAATAGGTTCTCGAGGGACCGACCGCGGTTCAATGACACACTCGACGTCATCAAATTCCTTTGCAAAGATCTATGGACGCTCGTCTTCGGCAAGAACATCGATAACCTCAAGACGAATCACAGGGTAAGGGTTGCGACATGGACATTATACGGAGTATCACGCTGACGTGGGATCAGGGAGTATACGTGTTAACAGACAACGTCTTCCGGCCATTTTCACGTATGAGTACAGAAGCTGGCGGTCAAGCCATCGTCCGCGCTCAACCGGTATGCTATAAAACACCCCGCCTTGTTCACAAGCATATCCTGTTGTACTAACTATATGTTGCAGTTCCTGTGGTTTCCATGCGGCGTTGTAAGGGGAGCTTTGGCTGCTCTTGGAATCAACACAAGTGTACAGGCCGAGATCAACGAGTTGCCGGGAGCCGTGTTTCAAATTAAAACCATACCAAATAAGCCTTAGGAGAGCTATCTGTTTAGCTATAATATCATGATACCCTTCTCTTTTTTTCCAGCCCGGGGCACAAACACGTCAACTTCCGACTATCGAGCGTCATGAACATACAAGATTTGAATATCGCCGTGGCTTAGATCAGCCCTTGACCAAAACTCCAACCATACCTACAACAGTTCCTCAGGTTCAGTGCCAGAACCACAAAAACATCTATCGTAAATAATCGCCCGGAACACTTCACAGCCTGCGCAAAGTCACACTATCAGCAATCGTGTTCATAAATCATATTACTATGTCTATTGCCATAGCTATGGGCATCCTGGAGTATCCTTGCCTCCTTTGGGAAGCCTCTTACTGGGTATTAAAAGATTTCAAATAGGGGATATTCACTTTTGGGGAGGGTTGTGGACAAAGCTGACACCCTTGCTGATGTTGCCCTTGAGACCCTCGGTGGCCTTGGCTAGCAGAGCCTTCTCCTTCTCGGTAATGCCCTCAAAGGGGTTGGTGGCCTTCTCAGCACCGTTGGGCTATGTAATGTCAGCAAAGTTTACACATCTAGAAATGAAGAATAGACAACTTACGCCAAGCTCAATGGGGACAGAGAAGAAGTCGCAGCCAGTCTCCTTAGCAATGGCCTCACCTCCGGGGACACCGGGAAGGTAGACGTAGCTGGGCTCAACAAGGCCCTTCTCGCCCTTAACGGCACGGAGAACCTTCTCGGCGAATCTGTACTATGTCAATTACTGTGCGAGATATTTCACGATATAGAGGCAACCTACCGGAAACCAGCATAAGCCATGGACAGTGTGGCGGAACCAGCACCATCCTTCGCCTTGACAACCTCGTCACCACCGAACTGAATGCGGTTCACGAGAGCATCGTACTTGTCGTCGGGGATCTGAACTGAAGGCGAGGCCTTGCTGAAGAGGGGGACGATGGTCTCGCCAGAGTGACCACCAATGACGGGGATGGTCAGCTCCTGGGGGTTAGCTTTGCCAGTGATCTCAGCAACAAAAGTCTCGGCACGAACGATGTCGAGGGTGGTGACACCAAAGAGACGCTGAGGGTTGAAGACACCCTTGGCCTTGAGGACCTCGGCAGAGATGGGAACAGTCGAGTTTACTGGGTTGGAAATAACAAGGATAAAAGCCTTAGGGGCGACCTCAGCAGCGACCTCAATGAGACCCTTGACAATGCCAGCATTGATGTTGAAGAGATCATCACGGGTCATTCCAGGCTTGCCTGTGCGGGGGAAGTGGTCAGTCGAGTCTAAAACTGGGGGAGGGGTTCCGGGGTCGGACACGCGGGGTCCAACGCCGGATGTCCGGGGTAGGAGCTTCACGTACGGGGAATGCCAGCGGGGATGACAATAATGTCAGCGTCCTTGAAGGCAGCCTTAGCGCCATCGTTGGCGGGAAGGTAGCCAGTGGTCTTCTGTAGAGGGTGTGAGCAAATAGTGCGCCTCGGTGGAAGGGAATATGCGTGTTTGACTTAGGGAAAGTCTAGGGTCGACTTACGGCGCGGGAGGAGATGTGAGAGAGATCGGTAGCGACACCGGGGGTGTTGACGACATCGTACAGGGCGAGCTCGTCAATGTGAGGAGAAGTCTTGAGAAGGAGAGAGAGGGGCTGTAATTAACCAACGTTAGCTTGCGCAATTCCTAGTTTCAAGAGAGCAAGAGGTACATACCTGGCCAATGCCACCAGAGGCGCCAGCAACAACTAGAAAACAAGTTAATATCGGCGCTTGAGGACAACAGAGTGCGCAAACATGATGATATCGAGGGGAAGCGAAGCGGGGTGAGTGAGATGGTGTTTGTACGTACCAGCCTTGACCATCTTGACTGAATGTGTAAGTGGATATATAGTTTAGAGAGAGAAGGAAGTTGACTCGAACAAGACGAGACAAGAGATGCGAGTAAAGGAAGAAGATGTTGTTAGGATGGAAGAGCGAGAAGAACAAAAACTGAGTTCAGAGGAGGGAGGAGGGTTCAAATATGTAGGCCCAGGTTGTCGGAAGAAAAGTCTAGGTCGAGCTCGAGGATGCGGAGGGTAACCTTAGTACGGTAGGTACATGGCAACCACCAGGGCGATACCCGGGTCGCCATAAAGGTACCCTCTTGAAACAAGCGTCAGGTCTCTTACTGGATCCCTTACAAAGAATGTTTTCTATTACTAGCTGAATTATGCAATTTAGGTCATGTCATGATCCGACTTGACCGGGAATTCTACTGCGGTTAATAGAGTTGCGATGATTTCGGACATGTAAATTCGGGATACCCCAAGTCACTCGGAAGCATGTGTGACGGACGGGCTATGTTGAGCGGGGAGGGGAAAGTAACACAACAGCTTTGAAAGCTCTAGTGGGGGTTGTTCTGAGGAGGGGCTCATTGCGCTTACAAGGGTCGATGGCTATAATCAACATATTCGAGAGAGGGGCATCATCCACAATCCAGAATCCACTGCCCATTGTCAGACCTATTGAACAGACGAACAGAAGGACAGGGTCATCAGCATCTCGCCTCTCTTTGGTTCTAATATCACGATTTTGGGTTTTTGAACGATTACGTGACTGTATTCCCTCAACGCCATCCATCCGTTTTGAACTATGTATTTGATGATACTCATGATATCCACCATCATGGATTTCATCTCCATTCACCCTTGGTCTCCTCCCCCTCTCGTCCGCCAACTGTGATTAGTTGGGTTAGCTGGCATTGACGATCTACGCCAGTTGTGACAGACCTGACGGGATACTTGCCGCGAGGCTTTGCGCAAGCGCCTCTGGTTGCTCCTGAGCGCATAGTTAACTCAACTAAGAATAGACATAACCACTTTCAAGGATGTAATTCCCTCTCGTCCGTTGAAGGACTCTCTGTGAAACTAGATCTGGATCGCTTCTGGAACCCAATTCCAAACCCTCAACTCGTGAGGAAAGGGCGTATAGAATTCGGTATCCAGTAACGCTCATCCAGGGAAAGTTTCCCTTACATTAGGCGTCCCAACCCCGAGATGAGAGCGAAACGGCCTGTACTCCGACCCAACTCCGAAAAGTACACCAGATAGAAACTCAATTATTGTCCTATCAGAGCCCAAGCGAATTAATGGCCATAAACTTATATATGTTGGTCATTCTATTCTGTAAACCCCACCCATTGCTCGGTTTCTCTTTGGAGCGCTTTTCCCTCTCTCTTTCTGTCAATCACATATTTCCTTAATAAGTGCCCAGCGCCATTTACTTGCAAGAATACCTATTATTCACCGAAAAGCACACCAGATGCTTATAAAAGTCACAAAGACGAGAGGATAACTAGAACGACCGATCCTTCTTCAATTACCTAAAATGGAAATATCGCAATGCGTCTCTGCAGCGATTGTGGTTAATGACTAATTCACTTACTCACTACTAAGTTACCACATAATCGCTACAAACTTAACATTACACCAAGTAACCTTCAAGTTTTCCCGATATACTGTTGTATTAGTGTATGGATATTCCAGTATAATTCATACTAGATCATGACCGGACACTGGTTATCCAGAGCTATCTTACTTCCGCCTGGTTTGTGCTCGGTCTGGACATTGATCTGCGTCCAAATCGACAAACAACTTCCGAGTTGCGGCTACATGAGGACCAATATAACCCGATACTTGATGTTTTCGTTTCACTCATTCATTGTATTGCTCCGGACTCGTCCGGGACTGTGACGTCTTCATTTTCATTCATGAGCTTCCTCGGCGACCTAGTACTTGGCATGATCCTCGGTATCCCGTGGTACCGAAGTCATGACCCGATATCTGCCGTACCGCACTTGTATATCCACACGATATCGTGAACTTGAATGCAACAACATAAATGAATTCAGGCTTATCTGATTGGTCTTGCAATGGTCAAACAAAGGTTTCATACGTCACTGGGCACATATTCATTCCAATAAGCCTTGTGACTCAATAATGGCGTCGGCGGGAAGACAATCACATATATCAACATTTTGACACAATTTGTTTGAGTTGCCAACGATACCGCCGACGGAATATTCATTCATTTTGAGCTCAATAACCCCAGCTGCGAATGACCCAGACCTCGGTTCATGTGCTTTGCCCATTCTGATGATCCCTTTTCTCATCAGGTGTGAGCTATGCAGCTTACCTCCCTAGCTTCATCCTATAGCCTTATTCACAACCCCCATTTCTATGTTTGCATCGTAAAGCTTAGTTCTCCTCAGAGGCGGCGGCGGCAGCGGCCTTCTTGGCCTTGTTGCCACGGAGCTTCTGCTCAGGCTCGGGCTTGACGGGCTTGTTGGACTTCTTGATGGCAGAAGCACGCTCAACAGCAGCGGAGCGGAGGTCAGCGCGGTAAGAGTTCTTGGCGACCTGGTTGGCAACGGCCTGGTAGGTCCTGGAGAGGGGAAGTCCATGGTCAGCTGAGTTCACTTGTGTGTCGGACAAGACACAATAATATCATGTGCGGTCGAATACTCACTTGCGGTTGCTCTTGGAGCCGCTGTAAGAAGTCTTGGTGAGGTTCTCGGCGGGCTTGTTGGGCTGAGCCTTCTTGGTGGTGACAACAACGGCACCCTTCTCACCAGCAGAGATACCGACGGCCTGTTGATGAATTATTTAGCTTTCGTTCACGGATCGTCATGATTCTATCGCAATCGTCGTGGTCGTACCTTGTCGTTGACGAAGCCGGCGTGCTGTAAAGCGAGTTAGCCCACATGCCCGATGTTCCATGATCGTTGACCCTTCAAATATTGAATCGCTTCACTGAGGATCATCAATCTTGAATATGGAATCATACCTTTCGGGAGCTCTTGTTGGTCAGGTTGAGGGGGTCTCGGGAGAACTGAACACCACCGTTCTTCTTGCTCTTGGCGGAGAAGCAGTTGTTGTCACCTGCGCGGTCGCAAAAAGCGTTTCAGTAATTGATCATCAAGTGAACATATCAGTCCAGGCCCATTCGCATATCAAAGTAGTCGTTGGGCTGGCCAAAAATAAATCAAAAATTCGGAGGAAACTCACGGACGATCTCCCAGATCAGGTCCTGGGAAATGTTGGAGAGCTCCTGGGCGGTAGACATTGTGATTGAGGATTTGGCGTGAAAATTGACCGGGGAGAATGAAGCTTGAGGTTGTCGTCGTCGAAATATCCAGTTTCAGTTCCAAAGACTGTTCACCAAAGCCGCCTGAATTGTGCGCGACCAAGGTGGGTCTCTCGGCTAGCTTGCCAATTAGGGAGGGCTTAGCCATTAATTGGGTAGAATGAAAGTGGTCATCAAAAACTTAATTAGCAGGTCACACAATCGTATATCTAGGCACTAGACTGAGTCATTTATTTTTGTAGCCAGCTCATCTTTCTGTCAACAAATAGTGGGTATGGCGGGCAGAGCGGGCTGATACAGTAGGTTCCGTTCCATGCAACATGAGACTCCAGTCAGAGGCGAATAACCCCTGATGTCATGTCACTTGAATCAGTTCTACAAGTCAAGCAACTACTTTATCGCCTATCAATTAATTATTCCCATTAAGGCATATTACGTGAGTAAAATTCAAGTCCATATGTTGATATAACCTCATTCGAAATTATTCCCTTCCATTTACCCGTATCTTGATGTGCCTGAGCCGGGCTATGCCAAGCAAAAACGCGTGGCTTGATTAATTGGAACAGGAGGGAGGAGGGAGCCAAACTTGAGTTAGCACCTAATAAGGTAAGTACAGTATAGAGAGAGTCACGTCAGTCAGCAGTTGCCAGTGCCCCCCCAGGCCCATTATCTTCATCTTCATTCCTGAGACAAAGGGAACAAGGTTGCACTTGTTCAAATCCGGATCTTGCAGAGGGCGGAAATCCTCAACCCAACTGATTAAACTCTTAACTCGAACAGGAGCACAACATAGACTAGAGGCGTCTACCATGCCAACTTTGGCGCTTCATCTTTGAAATCTTTCACCCTTCCGTCTTGCGACTTTGCCCTGCCTGGCTGTTCCTCTCATTTGTGATTGCGATTATTGTTCAGTCTCTTTTTTTTATCTTACCACCACTGCGCCTCAATTTCGACTCGATCTTTACATACCATACATACGTACGCCATTCCTCTTAATACCGACCGTCTGCCCATCATGTCGTACCTTCTCTACTCCATCTCATTCTTCTCCATTGTCCTCGGCACGATTCTCTTCTTCACCCGTGCCCACTGGATCCCTCACCTCCAACATATGCGACCTCGACTCCCCGGCGCCGACTACATTTACTCGCGACTTCCCAACAGCTTCGCCGGCGATATCGAGGCTGGTCTGACTAGTAGCAACTTTAATTTGTCGGAAAACGTTGAGTCTGGCGATTCGCGCGCCGGCCTCGACGATGCAGCCAAGGCTGAGGTTCTGGCTATCATGAAGAAGAGGAGAATGAATTTCGACCAGGCAAGGAAGGTCTATATGGAGAACCGATTCAAGGCCAACGGTATCGGCGCTGATGGTCTTCCGAGAGATCCGAAGTTTGTGAGCTTCTCTTAAAGAGTCGCATGGATGCATGGACGAAGTCGACGTTGCATCAAGCGCACCACGACGATATCCGATTACAACCCAGTTTATAATCACTCTACGAATCCTGATGCTGCAAGCGTCAATCAAACCCCATACACTTGTCTAGACTGGACACAGTTCGACTTGCGAAATAACTTTACATTGGCACACCAGTTGCAATTTCCTATACCAGCGGACTATACGGTTCCTTTGCTTTGCTATGCTTTTCTTTTTGTCTTTATCTCGTCAGGTAGCGTTTGTTGGAGTGGTTCCATAAAGAATTCCCCATATTATTATCAGCTGCCTACAGTCACTTTGACTTTTGAGGCAAGGAGTTTGGGCTGGATGCGGAAGATTTATTATTTACTACGGTAGACTCCATCTCCACAGTCAGCTACTGTAGTCTTTCTTTTTTCCTAGTTTCAGGTTACTTAAATGCATTTGGTGGATTATTCTAAATCATCATCATCTCCGCCAGACGCCATGAGTGAGTGCAGAACATTACAAAGGTCAAAATCTATGTACACGAATCAACGACAGATTTGCATTGCCATCTAAGGAAGGCCGATGCGTATAAATTTCCAGTAAATTCAGACGCCAAGGACGTCAAAGGTTTGGTCAAACTGAAGTCTTCACCCATTCCGGTGTGCCATAATATTGGCAAGCGAAACCATATTAGCCGCCCATACGCTTATTGTGTCTTTTTCATACTGGGCGCGCTATCCGTATAAGTGCGGTTGTCACTACCTTCGATCTCTTCAATGAGCTCGTCCACCTTTTCAATCTCCTTCTTCCAGCGGCCTTCGGACATCTTCATATCCCGCTCAAACATCCACTGCTCAGGCATGCGGTAGGTACCGCCAATACGATCAAAAGCAGTGAAGAATTGGCCATAGTTGACCTCGAAGCGAGAATGATGAAGTGAGTGGCATGCAGCACCGTTGACAACAGGGTTGTTGGTGAGATACTCGCCGTCGTGAATCATGACAGACCAGAGGTTGACAAACACAAAGAGTGCAACATAGGCCATCTTTTGAAGCGGGAAGATGAAAGGGAAGATGTGATAAGGCAAAGACTGGGTAAACCCATCAAGAGGATGAAAGGCATGACTGGCAAAAGGAGTGGGCATAATCCACTTGTGGTGAAGCTTGTGCAGATATTTGTAGACCAAACGGTGGTGAAGCCAGCGATGAGCCCAGTAGATGCAAAAGTCGGTAAAGAGGAGGAACAGTGGGAACTGCAAGAAGTCGTACCACAGGCCGGGCCCGTCTTCGGTAGTGTCGTACAGTTTGCCGTAGCCTCGAACTTCGAGGAGGAAGAAGGGTGCTGTGATGATGGCCATGACTGGCATGGCCTTGTTGGCCGCGATGATCTCCAGGCGGACCTGGTTCTTAATGAATCGTGGGTGTTCAAAGGTGCGCTTATCAAAGATGAATATGTATGACAGTGTTGCAACGATGAAATAGACAAGAAGACCAAAGATCCTGTTCAAGCATATTAGTCTATGTGATCTAATGGTGAGTTTTGATCAACACTTACCAGGTAATGAGATACAGGGTCAAGGCCTGGCGAAGAGGGTTATCACGATCCCATGAGCTCATATATGCTTGCTCTGGTGGTTCCAATGTAATGAATTGTGTGGCCGGTTTGTAAATCCATGTCGAGAAGGCCTTGGCTGATGTGTCGGTTGTGTTGGATGGTGTTGGGAAGTCATAGGGAGCTGGACGCTTTGGATAGAAGTACGCATATGCGTAGTCGGCAATGAAGTTGTCGACAACCTCAAGGACGACATCCATAATGGGCAACCGAGTTCTTTATGGTGAAACGGTAGAGTTGTAAATAAATGAAGGAGGGTAGACTTGGTGTGGTGAAAGATGGTGTAAGTGAAGACCAAAGACACAATCACAACTTAAGAGACAAACAAACACATAACTGTGAGCATCCTATGAGACTCAGGATACAATAACTGCATTATTATTTTACAGGCGGACCTCGTCTTGTTTATCAATAAATTCATCATGGAAAAGGAAATCACATAGTCTGATACTACAAGGAGTCGTCGGCGGCTTGCGAGGCGGGGCGGATGTTTCTTTCAGGGATACATCGCGCAGTGGAGTTCCAAAAAGGGCCCTGAGAGGTCGGCTGGACCAATTAGAGGCGTTGGACGGACGAGCTTCTGAATCCATCTTATGATGAAAGACGTACGATAGAACGACAAACAACAAGCAGGGGCCTTGTTATTGAAATAACGCCGCTTTTTATGAGAAGGGGTCTTTGCTTTCTACAAATTATGAGGTTTTGTGTGGTTTATGAACACGAATATCTATATGATCTTGTTTTAAATTAACTTGCTGGAGACAACATTCAAAGTATCAGAGTGTCAGTCATGTTTAAAGAGAATCGCATCTGCTGAAGGCCATTAAAGGTTAATCATTGTGGTCTGATGAAATACATCATTGTTCACTTATCGATCCATTCGATATTGAGATACGGAAACGAATACGCTGGGGAAACCCTGAGGATTAGAGCTGCACAGGTACTGGCCTGACATCTTCTGGTAGGACCCTTATTAGAGTCCAGGTACGGACGGACTAAGCGCGGGATTGTGAGCCATGGTCTCGGGTATAAGAGGGAATACTTCCTTGAACTGATCTTGGGTTACTCTGTACACACTTTTCTTATCAAAACGTACATCGCCTCAGATACACCTCCCAACAAACGTGAACAAGATTTTCATTTTCCAATAACCCAATACGTGGCACGGCGGTATACTCGGGACCCAGTCATTCACCCAACTCAATGGTACAGCTTCAAACCTAGCCTTGGTCATGTTTATTAAAATTCCGTGGCAACTGAGAGATAGGATTCGTCAGCCTTGCGTAGTATTGGGTGTTGAGGCGCAGTGATACCGTTGTACTGTCGAACCTTGGGCTCTGCACGCGGACAAACAAACTCAAGCCTGAACCGAGCACATCATGATGGGGCTGGTTACCCCAGGTGATGTTTACCATGTAGCACGTGGAGAGCGCGATGCCTTTCCCCGTATTGATTTTCCACATTACAGAGTTTGTTGCCGACTTGGTATCTTTAGTTTTACTATATCGAGTCGTCAGTTTTGCCACTTGGTTACCAATCAACTCACGACCGTACAGTACAACACTCTACGGCAAACCAGTCACTGACAGCGAGGCTCTGAAGTTGACGGGCTGTTCAAATAGTCAATCAATAAGAGCATCACTTGGCATCAGCGATACCACTCATGATGATCCCATCAACGCCATCCACTCGCAACTCTTGATATATGATAATCACAACCTTTAACTTGTTCTGGAGAGATGACAAGGCATGTGGCACCAGTCAGTGTTTGTTAAATGTCACACGGATGTCGCACAAAACTGGTAAATCCGACGAGACTTGTCACTTTGGTGGTGGCGCGGCTCTGTTTTCTATTGCTTTCGTTGCTGCAAGTCAACGTAGCACCAACGGCTCCCAATTGGTTCGGAGGAGCGACCCTGAGCTAGAGGGACAGCAGCATGTGGTGGGAAAGGGTTGTTGCGAGCTTTGGAGGAGCTAAACTTAAAACTCACATGGTTCTCCAGTGTGAGGTTTTAGTACAGGTACAGGGTATGTTCTCTAGACAGTTGAATTCTCTCATCAAACATATTTACGATAATTAATTACATAGATCATCAATTTCCAAGTGACCTAGTATAAAAGTGTAATGTTGTTTTACACTCGTCAGTTCATTGAAGGTTCATTGAGTCTTAGGGGCTCTCAACATGTTACAACGACATCATGGAAGGCCCAAACACTTCTTGATAGCAACTCTATTCACATTGTGTCAAACAAAACATAACAACCACGTGCTGTCTCTAAGTTCTAGAAGATCATGTGATTACATAAGACAGGTAAAAAAAAAAAGGTTCATGTAAAGAATAATTTAAGCCACGCAATTGAATGATTACGAAGGAGGAAAAAGGAAGTTAAAGAAAAAGGAAAAGGGAAAAAAGGGGGGCGTGCAAAGGGAAATAGGAACTTACCTATCATGGAACAGAACCGACCATCTTACCACCCCCTCAAGGCCTAAATCAGTGAGAGAGAGAGGGTGTGAAAGAGGAGTGTTAGGTGTAATTGTAACTGTGATGAACTGAACTTCATGTAGGTTGTCATCTTGTGGAAGCCACAGCCCAGGCCAGGCTGGCTACCAGGGCAGCAGTAGCGGGCTTCCACGCCCACTAGATGTGGACCCACCTTTCAAAACCCCTGATGAGATGGCTTTTGGATGGGTTTCGAGGCTGATGCTTCATTGCGTCTGTGCGCTTAGAGTTGTAGGTACGTACCTGTCCTTGATCTCCACTTATATGGATCGCAACCCCACTCCCCCCCGGGCCGTGCTGCGTGAAGAGCTGCAACCCACTGGAACCCATGCTTTCCTTTAGCACTTACCAACCCGTTTCCTCCTCGGCCGGGCCTCTTCTTTTTTCTTCTCTTTTCCTCTTCCCATCAAAACATCATCACGACTAATTTGTTCCTGCTTCGATCGTCAACCCAACGTTCATCCTGGCTGGCCATATCGTCGCAAGTACCTCCCACGATTATCTACACACCTGCCGGTCTTTACCCGTAAACCGGTTGTTAATTACGCTGCTGTTTTAACCCTTAGCTGTCGCGTCTGCTTCTCGTTTAGCTGTCATTGTCATCAGCTTGCCTTGGCACCCAGTCTCGCGCTGTCACCGACTTGAACGGCACGCGCCGACGACTCGACCGCGCCAAACGCACCAGGCATCGATTGCGATCGCGATATTTCTATCAACCTCCATCCTTATCTCATCTCATCTCATCTCATCTCACCGAGTCCCATCTGAACTCCCCGTCGCCGAGACCCGCCTTGCGCAATGTCGATGTATCCGCATCGCGCCATGGGGGGCGGTCCCCAGGCCAATTCTACCCGCCTGAACGAATTGCTTGACCAGATTCGAGTTGAATTTGAGAGCCAAATGCGCACCGCGGAAAACTACGAGCATCAGAGTAGGTCCACTACTTTTACTTTGGCGTGTATATCGCGTTATTTCCTTCAATCCAGCTAACACATGTGTATCTTTAGTCGCCGCGCAAGTTAGTGAGATGCAAATGGTCCGCGAGAAGGTTTACCAGATGGAGCAGACTCATCTGGGTCTCAAGCAGAAGTAAGTGTTGTTATTATTGGCGATAATGGACGCCCGTTGACCTCTTCATCTGCAGATACGAAGACGAGATCACTTCCCTGCGACATCAGCTCGATGCTGCCAGAAAGGGTGGAATTCAGGGTGGCATGCCCGGACCTCCTCAGCATGCTGCCCCTTCTCAGCCTCCCTCTATCGCCCCTGGCAATGGTCTTTTTAGCGGTATCATGGCTGGCGGTAGTCAGGGAGGTCTCGCACCTCCACAGCAAGGTCAGCAGCAAAGCCAGCAGGGTCAACCTCAGGGCGCGCAACAGCCGCAGCAATCGCAGCAGGGCCATGCCCCCCCTCAAGAACAACCATTGGGACCTCAACATCAGATGAGCCAGGGACCTCCTGGTCTTCCTGTTCCCCCTCATCCCAGTGCGCAGCAAGCTCCCTACTCCCAAAACTACCCTCCTGGCCCTGTCCCAAACGGAATGGGACCTCAGCCACAGAGCACTGCTTCCCCCGGTCCCGGTAGGAGGGGCATTGGTCGCCCTCCTGGTGCTGGCGGGCCTGCGACTCCTCAGATCAACACACCTGCGCCTTACCCTGGAACTGCGGCATCGCCCCAGGTTAGCCACCCAACTCCTGACCATGCTCGAATGGCTGGTCCTCATGCGTCCGCCGTTGGCAACGCCCTCGGCGACCTCGAAGTTGATAACGTGGCTCCTCATAACAAGAAGACCGGAAATGATTGGTACGCCATCTTCAACCCTCAGGTGCAACGCGTTCTTGACGTCGACCTTGTCCACTCCCTCAACCACGAAAGTGTCGTCTGTTGTGTGAGGTTCAGTCATGACGGCAAATATGTCGCAACCGGTTGCAACCGATCTGCTCAGATCTTTGATGTCCAGACCGGAGAAAAGGTTTGCGTGCTCGAGGATCACAACGCCTCTGACATGAGCGCCGATCTTTACATTCGCAGCGTTTGCTTCAGTCCTGATGGTCGTTACCTTGCCACCGGTGCCGAAGATAAGCTGATCCGAGTAAGTATATGAGCAAAGTTTTGAGTGGATATGGCACTAATATTGTATAGGTCTGGGATATTCAAACTAGAACGATCAGAAACCACTTCTCTGGTCACGAGCAAGATATCTATTCACTAGATTTTGCACGTGATGGACGCACCATTGCTTCGGGCAGTGGCGATCGAACCGTCCGCCTGTGGGATATCGAGCAGGGTACGAACACTCTCACCCTCACAATTGAGGATGGTGTGACAACCGTCGCCATTTCTCCCGATACCCAATTTGTCGCTGCTGGCTCTCTCGACAAGAGCGTTAGAGTTTGGGACCTGCACTCAGGTTTCCTTGTTGAGCGTCTCGAGGGACCTGATGGCCACAAGGACAGTGTCTACTCTGTTGCTTTCTCTCCCAGTGGGAAAGACCTCGTTTCTGGCAGTCTCGATAGGACGATCAAGATGTGGGAGCTCAGCGCTCCTCGCCAGGGCAATAACCCAGGGCCCAAGGGGGGCAAGTGCGTCAAGACATTTGAGGGTCACCGGGACTTTGTCCTGTCGGTGGCTCTTACTCCTGATACTAACTGGGTGCTCTCTGGCTCCAAGGACCGTGGTGTGCAATTCTGGGATCCTCGCACCGGCACTACGCAGCTCATGCTACAGGGACACAAGAACTCGGTCATCTCGGTTGCGCCAAGTCCCCAAGGTCGATTCTTCGCCACCGGTTCTGGTGACATGAAGGCCCGTATCTGGTCCTACCGCCCTTACACTTGACTAAATAAGGAACCGGCTCAGTGGGTTGCTTTTTAGATGTTACAACTTGAGAATGATGGGATTGGAGAAAAGAGACACGTTTGAGGGAGTAACTGATTGGAAACACGTTTATGGAAGCTTTCTTTACCGAATGGTGACCAGCCAGAGTGAGCGACAAATATTGTTTCTTGGGTACCGGACACAGCAGGGCCGCTCCGTAAGCGCACACTCACAGCTCGAAGGACGGTCTTGCAAAGAGGCGCATAAGGATGGGAAGAATTCGGAGGGCATATCTGTTCGTGCGCTGAGCAGGAGATATGCCGGTACTTCGCTAGCACACTTATTTTTACCGTTTGGTTGTTGCGCAATGTGTTATTATGAAAACAATAATGAAAATCACCGATTCCCCAACGCTCTTGTTCAGCTGACTACTAATGCGATTATATCTGTAGTACGTGTCTTGACATGAAGCGATGCTCCGCAGTGTAATTAATGTGATGTTATAACGAGCCAAAAAGACTTGAAAGTGCGTCGCCGCCTTTCTTCTTTTTCTTTTTTGGTTTGTCTTTAGTGTCATCTTTCGATGAGCGCTTCGGCGCCTCTGTATGTACTATCTTTGGTTTGCATTCCTTCAACTTGACATCTTTAGAGGGCACGTCTGATTTCGGTATTGATTTGGCCGTTTTCTTTTGTAATAAAAGAAGCTCCTCGCGTGAAATGGCCACGCCCATATCCGTTTCAGCACTGGGTGCCTCGGCTGCTATTGACTGCACTGTCGATTTGATCGGACCGGGAATGTCTGATGCTGAGCTTGTTACATCTATAGCATCTGTTGATGACGATTCGTTGTTGTGCTCGGATGGAACGAGGTGAGATAATAAAGTGTTGGTGCGAGCGAGGACTGAGAGGAGGAGGAGGCCCAGAGGCGCATGTTGATTATCGGCTGCTAGTTGGGAGAAAGTACTGCGCGCAAGACAAATACGTGATTAGCCACGTTGAGGAAATGCCAAGGCTTGTCAGGGAAAGGCATTGGCTTACATAAAAGCATCAGGGACAAGATGGCGCATCATCCATTTTGCGCGGACGAGTGCAGGGTGGCTGTCGGGTTTCGCATTGTTGCTGCTAGGCTTGGTCTTCTTCTTTGGGCGCGAGACGACGACGAGATCTTGACCAAGGTTGCGGATGGCGCGGCGCAAAAGAGAAAAGGAAGACCACCAGTGCGTGGAAGAATGTTGGTTCTTGTGACGGTGGGCGAAGCCGTCGAGGATGGGGAGGAGAGAAGCGAGAGATTCGCTTGTGGAGGTCAAGAGAGCGGTATCGGGGGGAGTTGTCATGATGGAGGATGCGCGATCATTACTATTGGTAATAAAGGATTTTAACAAGAGAGAAGGAAAGATTGTATAAGTCCGGGATTCGGCCGAGACAGAGAAGATAGTGGTGATTGAGGCTGTAAAGTGACATTTTTGAAGCTGTGATGGATAAAGCTAGAGCCTAAGTTTTACAGCGGTATTGATAAGATAAGGATGTCTCTTGGATTTACCTAGCGTACATAACTCGGCTGAGTAGTAAAAACTCTTTTTGTGCTTGAATAGAGATCATGAGAGGCTTGCATTTGTTACTCATTTTTCTTGATAATATCCCATGCAGGTTATGCTATAGGCTGAATCTGTCGTGGAATTAGAACCATTCATTCGTGGGTAAGGTTTATACATATCTGGTTGGAGGAAGCCTTATGCATGTCTGAGGTGCAGTTGCAGTTATCCTTGGCTCTGACATCAGAATACCAGTCATGATGTTTTTCTTCTCTCACTCTCTCAGTAGACAGTGTTTTCTCTTTCTAATTCCCTTGACTACTTTCGCAGGGACCAACAAGAATGTCGATGATTACGCCCGCACGACAACCCCTTCTGAAACCAATTGTAGTCAAATTCCTATTAGATTGGTCTCGTGAGCCCCTACCTAGATCCGAATAAGTCTCATTCTCCACCGTCTACTTACCATCGTTCCCCATCTGGAGCTGCACAAAACATTTGAAATGAATTACAGGTGGGGTTCAGTGCGACGAGGCAATGTCTAGAACTGCACTGAAGCGGGTACAACCGCCTGTTACTAGGTGAGTGTTACCCCGACTTTGATGTCCTTACAGGTGAGACTGTTTTGTCCTTTTGTCCTACGATCAACGAGTGTTTTGACGTTTCCCAACGCAACTACTGATTGGACTTGTGCATTTAATTTGTCCTATCAGAAAGCACTGGTTTCTCCGGCAGTTCATCAACTCAGTTCTAAAGTCATACCCTCCCCTCCCCTCCTCCAAATGCATGCATGCAACAACAACAGACTACATGAGACTAGGCAGTCTTAGCCTACTAGGGTCTTGGAGGATCTCTTTAATTATTACTCCATGTTTAGTCAAACCGTCTTATCATGAGTACTGCTAACTCTTGTATCAGCAATCCCTGTCGACTCGACGTGACCCTGTTTTGACCCTTTCAATCCAGTTACAGGCCCGAGATCAAGATCAAGATCAGAAACTGAAGCAGATTATCCGCAAAGGAGGAGTAACTGACCATCGGCTATCGTGCGCACAGGGATCCCTTGGTTGCGATAAGCTCAATCTTTGTCTGCCCAGGCTTGGTACATAGTACGCGCGCCCACTTTCTGTCACTCAGTCAGTCAGTAGACTACTGGTTAGTTAGCTGGTCAGGTATAACATACTTACCCAAGTTGAGCCTCGTGCCATATGACCTTGGGCCGAGTCTGCCCTCTCTTTCTGTCTCTTATCCGACTTTGTTGTATCCTCCTATTCCTTTGCAAATTGAACAATTCGTTCCTCGAGGGGTTTGGTGATACCTCTAATTTTGCCGAGTCTACAAACCCTGTCTCCCATTGCATTGCATTGCATCGTTGACCTTGTTTGCGACCTTCCAACCTTCCAGCTTTTTCTGCTGCCTTCGCCACCCTAGCCCAGCCAAACCAAACCAAACCAAACCAAACCAAACCAAACCTGCTCAGCAGACCAAGACAAAGGTGGGATCAATTGAGATAACACAAAATCTTGTATTTGACCTCAAACCGAATAACGAATCGACACGACAATACCATCAAATTTAATCAAAACCAAACGTGAAGTTGGCGACGATACAGAATTACAATGTCTGCGGCGCGGAATCCTACGAACTGGGATGAATACGATGGAGGTGGTTCCCCCGGTGAAAGCGTGACCGAGAGCATGCTTGAGCGCGAACAAGCTCTTGTCGACGACGACGACAACGATGGAGGCAACCAAGGAGGCTTCACAAGGCGAAGACGGTATGTTTTCATAATCAACAAACACACTATAAACTAGTACTTACAGCTAACTCTTCCAGATCCTCCATCACCTATCAATTGGCTGCCATCGCCGACATTGGCGGAGTCAACAGCTTCCGATCCTTTGCCAGAAGTTGGCAGCGAGCCGCAGGATTCCACGAAGTTATTCCTCGCCGACCGAGTTTTGTCCTTGCGCCCGAGGGTGAAGCGCAAGATCTCGAGTATAGTCGCAGTCATGTTCAGGGGTCGCAACCACAGTCGGGTCTTTTGCGCCAACACCTAGAAGCATCGTCTTCCCAGGCCAACGGCGAATCCAGCTCGGCCATTGTATCGTCTCCAAGGCCGACGCGGGCATCTCGTCGCGACGACGAAACAAAGCCGCTACTCGATGTTGAGGCGGGCGATTCGTCGGTCGTTGGTTCGCCTCGATCAAGCATCTTTGCTGTTCCACCTCATCTGGCGGCTCCCGATATCGTTGGCAGCTATGGCTCGTTCCGTGACTCTTCGCCTTTCGGGACTTTGGATAGAGGTTCGCGCCACCGCATCTCCTTTAGCGAGGGAAGTGGGTGGGGTGTAGCCGATGACGAAGAAGTGGAAGGCGAAGACGCGGCGCATGGTGAACACCAGCCTATTCTTGTCAAGGAGGTCAAGCAGGGCAATAAGGTTGTTCTCGCTGTAGAGGGTCAGAGCACTCTTCCTCAGTCCGTCTTCAACTCCATCAACGCTCTTATCGGCGTAGGTCTGCTCAGTCTCCCGCTGGCCTTCCAGATGACAGGCTGGATCACCGGTCTGTTTCTTCTCACATTTACAGCTGCCGTCACGTCATACACAGGCAAGCTGTTGGCCAAATGCATGAACTTTGACCCTAGTCTCATCACATATTCCGACTTGGCGTATGTCTCATTCGGTACCCGCGCTCGAGTCATTGTTTCCGCGCTCTTCAGTCTCGAATTGATAGCAGCGTGTGTCGCTTTAGTCATCCTCTTTGCCGACTCCCTGAGCCTCCTGCTTCCAGGCTTTGCTACTGTCAACACCTGGAAGGTTGTGGCCTCTGGTTTGGTATTGGTGCTCAATGCGCTACCCCTCCGTCTGTTGAGTTACACCAGCGTTGTTGGTATCTTTTCCACTTTCTGCAGTAAGTACACCAGTTCAGCATTATCCGTCCATCTACTTACATGTTTCAGTTGTTGTGATTGTTATTATCGACGGTTTCTACAAACCAAACTATCCTGGTTCGCTTCGTGAACCCGCGACGACTTATCTCCTTCCCGAGAACTGGCTGGCTGTGCCCCTCGCATATGGTCTCCTTGCCAGCCCATGGGGTGCCCACTCCGTGTTTCCATCGGTATGACACACATTACTCCTTTTGAGGCATCGAACTAACACAATGCAGATTTATCGTGACATGCGCCACCCATACAAATGGGGCAAAGCTGTCAACATCACATTCTCCTTCTCTGTAAGTATCCAAGTTGTATATACAAGTTGATAGCTCATCTAACTTGTTCAGTACCTAGTGGATACCTGCCTGGCCGTGATCGGTCTGCTCATGTTCGGTGATGGTATCAAGGATGCCATCACCTCTAACATTCTCAAGTCCAAGGGTTATCCCGACGCTTTGAAGATCATAATGTGCATCTTCATTGCTATCATCCCCTTGACCAAGATTCCTCTCAACGCCCGTCCTATCATCACAACTTTGGACGTCATCTGTGGTGTCCACGAACAGCACCATCACCATCATGACATATCTCACAGCCAACCCACTCGATCATCTGTCCTTATCACCAAGGCGGTCCGAATGCTTGTCCGAGTCTTTGTTGTTATTCTTCTGTTGTTCATCTCCATCGTCTTCCCAGCCTTCGACTCCGTGTGTGCATTCCTTGGCGCCGCGCTCTGCACCCTCATCTCCATCATCCTGCCCATCTCATTCTATCTGAAGCTGTACTGGCAGGATGTTACTTTCCGAGAAAAGGCCGTTTCGGCCATACTGCTCGTTGTGTTTTCCATCTTGGGTACACTTGGAACTATCTGGACATTCTTGCCTAAGCATCTCATCGGCGCTGACTAGACTCTATGTTTCTATTTTTTTTTTTTTGATCGTTGGGGCATCTGTAGGAGTTGCCGAGCATTTGTGCACCGTACTGGCTGAGCTTGGTGTGTTTGATTTACGAAAATGGAGATAGGACAATGAATAATATGTTATATGAGTCGACTTGTGGCTCATTCTGTTTGGAACCATTTTGTTCTCATCTCACTGCTTGCATTGTTCTCGCTCAAGACTGTTATTGACATCAGCAATGCAATATATATATTTAATGAGCGTAGTCATGACTATTTAGACGTCATAAAATCCGAAGCGTCTCCTGATTGTTACCACGTCTATCATCCCCGAGCCGCTTTGCTTTCATAAAGACCGAAAAGAGAAAGAAAAAAAAAGCTCTTGGGTATCATCAGAAACCAGTCGGGAAAAGAAGATGATTTGTCGTGATACAAGCCGCACATCCCAATGTACATCCATCCGTTCACACCTAGAATCCCCCTTGATATAAACATTTCCACAATCGCGACCCAACTCTCATGCAAGGCAAAAGAGTCGGAAAGTGCAGATAAAAATCACATAGATGACTCCGTGGTAACCCATAGCTGAACCAGAAAAAGAAACTGACCCAATCAACAGTCCTTCCGAATATGTCTTTGATCCTCTGATAACGCCAAAGTTCAGAGACAATGCCGCTGTACCCCCCGTAAACATGGAAAACCGTGTCGCCAAATATCACGTTCCGTTGATGCCGTCTGTAGACTGCCGGCAGTCGAGAAAAGATATGCAGAAGAGGAGCAAGGAAAACGCCGAAGTAGGAAGCACTTAAAGACGCCGAGTCTTAGGAGAACAAACGTTGGTTCGCACCTGAAGGGGATGGACTGCCCAAGTCCAGTTTGAGAATACGACGAAGATCGTTCTCCATGGCCTGAAGGTTGTTTGAATGGCTATTGTAAGGAGATGGTGCATTTGGAATGTTCCTGGCACGATCATATTGGTGAGCAGGAGGGGCTGGTGCGAATCCATTAGGGACAGATTGGGAAACGGTGGTGCCGTTTCCACTGAAAAGAAATTTCTTGAGAGCATCAGTGGGATCTTCAGGCTCTGGGTTGGCCTTTTGGTGGTGAGCAGATAGATCAGCGGGCGACCTTGCAGAATTGGTACGAGCAGCCCGAATACGCTCCTGATAAGGCGTTGAGAAGGCCGGTCCCACAGGTCGACCTGGAGTTCCGTCGAACTCCCCACTGTCGATACCTACGGATTGGAAACGGGCTTGGCTGCGAGCCGTCTGAGGAAGGGTTGCCGGCTGCGGAACACTACCAGGTCCGAAAGGAGACTGCACGGAGGGTGATTCGCTGACAGGTCCCGAAGTAAGGAAGCTGCTGGCGCTTCCACTACGCTGGCGTTCCTTTTCCTGACGATGGGCACGGAACATGAAATCGAGAGGAGATTCCTGAACGCCCGACGAGCTCTGTCGCAAAGGAGTTGGTGCCTCGGTATCGGTCGGAGGAGAAGGCTCCTGGATGATATCTCGTGGTGTCTTGGTGACACTAGGAGACTCAGTCGCCGGCCGAGAGACAAAGCTGGGAAGAGGCAAGGCAGATGGCGCAGGAGAGGCATGGAAAGTGGCACCAGCGAAAGCAGAGATGGACTTCATAGAAGAAGATTGATTCGGAGGGGTGACACGTCCAGGGCGAGTAAAGTCGGGAGAATGAGGACCGGGTTTGCCACGCTGTTTGTTGTTGTTATTGTTGTGACTGCTGTTGCGGTTTCGCTGTTTTGAGTTGATATGGCTCATGGGAGAATCGGTGCCTGCGCCCTTTTGAGGAGTGCGTGGGGCACGATCGTGTCGTGCAGGATCAATTGTGGCAACATCATTCTCGGAGGCATAAGCTTTCTGAGCAGCGGGACGACCGTTTCGGCCGTTCCGGCGTCGAGCAGGAGTTGTTGTAGGTTGAGAGGGCGTTTCACTCATTTCGTCTGTGATATCACAAAGGTGAAAGAAGATAAGAAGGCGAGTATGTAGATAAAGTGAGACAGGATGAGACGACAAGACAAGACGGGCGAGCCTCGCTGTGGTGTTGTGTTTTGTTTGGTTGACGATTTGAGTTTGCGATAGTTTGATACGATGCGACAAGGCGGAGATTATGGTTCTGGCGGATTATACGAAAGAGAAGATGAGATCGAAGCGGGAATGGCGATTGAGTATAAAGCAACTATTCTTGTAAGGAGAGAGTTGACTATTCTGACCATGACTGTACTAGACCTAGATTGTAGGAGAAAGTGTGATTCAAGGACTGAGTAATGAATGAGGGGAACGGAAACGGAGAAGAGAAGTAGGGAGGCTTTAGGTTAATAACTGAGTAACAAACACAACCTAAGCACAGGGCAGATCCGAAACAAGAGCCCACCTACCGCCACTGCAGTGCAGTGCAGCCGCTGGCAGTACAACGGACGGGAGGCAATGACGCGGGCGGAGCCAGCTTTAGGCTTGTCCAAGTGTACAAAGCGGAGTCTTTGAGCGCCTAAAGCGGCTCTAGAGGACGCCTGGGCATTGATGCTTCACTGTTGTGCAGCCTTGTTTTTCGGGGGCAGTGCAGCGATGCTTTCTTTTCTTGTCAAGTAAAGTTGTGGATAGTCTAACAATGATTTCATACCCGGGGAGACAGGTGCCGGTGAAATGGATTGTAATATATCAGATAGCGATAATAAAAGTGATATGAATGACTGAATTGGGAGCTTCGTGATCCATTGACCCCGCCATTCCGCTTCGCTGTAACGAATGCCCGGGCGGGCTGTATTACAGTATCGGTTGCGCCCATCCAATCCCATCCGCGGTAGCTGCCTGCTAAGTATTCATCTATCCAGAGGTAGATAGATTCAGGTCCAGCCTTCCCGTTCAACTCTAGAGTCGCATCATCACTGTTTGATGAGAGACAAAGTCACCCTGTAAGTTTATGTACCTCAGGTTTACCTCTTTTGGTAAACTATCTGCACTATCAAGGTTCATTTCCTCTTCTCTGTGCGCCTCTCATGCCGAAACTTTGCCGCTGACAGTCACTAGCATTCGCATCATAGACACATAACCACCGATATTCGTACGTCTTTCACTCTCGCTTTCATCCGTCACCGCAACCCGACGACAACGATACCACACGGCCGAATCTTACAGTTATTATCCAGCAACGAGCACTATTTCGCATTCGACGAACCGACTCCATATAATACCCAACGTCAAACCTCGATTTCGACTTACTACACCTACCCACCATGGCTGATGTTGAGATGAGTGATGCGCCCGTCGCCAAAAAGGCCGAGGGCTCCAACACCAAGAGCGTTGAGGGCAAGAAGAAGTTCGAGGTTAAGAAGGTACAGATCGCCTAGAGGTGACCATCCTGGACATGTGCTGACCGGAGATCAACAGTGGAACGCAGTAGCTCTGTGGGCATGGGACATTGTGGTCGACAACTGTGCTATCTGCCGTAATCACATCATGGACCTGTGTATGTCTTCCAGAAATCTTCACGCATCATGATAAGAGGCTGACAAACCCATCAGGTATCGAATGCCAGGCAAACCAAGCATCCGCTACTAGTGAAGAATGCACCGTGGCCTGGGGTATCTGCAACGTAAGACTATTGACTGCATCATCTTGTTTTCACGTATTTAGACTAATGGGTATCTAGCATGCATTCCACTTCCATTGCATTTCGCGATGGTTGAAGGCCCGATCCGTTTGTCCCTTGGACAATAGGGACTGGGAGTTCCAGAAGTACGGACGATAGGACTGAACAGTACGGACCAGAGAGGATATGCGAGATGCGTGTCCGGGGGTTATGTCTTATGAAGAAAGGAACAAATATGCGAATAAAAGGGATCGTCGAGGTGCTGCATTCGGCATTGGTAGCTGTCTCGAGATGATATGTCATAAACAGCCGGACCATTCAATCTATTGATTTCCCTTGCTTGCGAGATCGTACGCGTAACCTGCCGGTAACCACTTGACAGGATGCTTGTTGTAGAATGGCCAAGCTGGCACCACGACGAGGAATGTCAGGGCCGTACCTCCCAACCCCAGGTATACGGCAAGCTTGATATCTTGTAGGATGTAACCGACAACGAACGAGATCAGCTAGTTTGCAATTAGCCAGGTAGTTCAAGAGGGTGGCAGGTGATATCATCAGACGCGATGCAACGTACACCAGAAACGATAAGAAGGGCTGTGGCGAGGATCTCGACGAGCTTCTGGCCTTCGAAGTCCTATAGTGGAGCTTCAGTCAGACGTTGATCAGGTAAATCAAGAGGGGGATCATGTACAATCTGTCCATCGACAATGTCTCGGATCTGGTCAAGAGCTTGATCAGCCATGTTGGATGATAGTCGCGTGGTTGTGGTTGTAATGTAGCTGTAGATGTTGTTCGGATGCGATGCCGTTGGTCGCTAACAGGTACGGTACAGTAGTGTAGTCTGGTGGATGTACAGTCGGAACAGGTCTCGACACCTGGCTGTTTGGAGGCTATTAGGCTATTCCGTTTTCGGCAAACAAGCTTTGGTGGTTAACTCCAAGCGAGGAACAGCTCAATGCTTGATTTTGATTTTGGTGTCAGATGAATAATGAGAACAAAGCGATAACTACCTAACGCAATGACCAGATTATGTCATGTTATTATTTTTTAACTTCCTGCCTCTTATTTCCAAGAAACCTGTCTATCAGGATAGAACAACGTTGGCAAGGCTATCATATGGATCAATGCGCATGGAATGACGGGATTGCATTCGACGAATCAGTCACTCCATAATTCATAAAAGTCAAATCAGAGTATTAGTTCCTACCCGGCTACTAACATCCGATCTCAAGGATGGGCAACCAAAGAAGAGTCAGATGGTGAGCACGGGCAAAGAACCAGGGATATTTGATACAAAACCAAGGCCATGCATTTTCCAGCTGCAGGACAAGTGTGTAAGTCATGGAGATCAAAGTGGCGGCCTCCATCAGTCAAATTATAGTAATCCTGACCGGGTTGTCTACATTAGCATCTATTTTTGCTTGTGATAGCCGACACACCAGGCCAAGACAATTTTTTTTCTTAGCCCTTCCCACTTCTAAGACTACTTATTAGTTCCTAACTCCTCTTTAATCAACCTAACCCTGACATCTATCGTCGTCGCTACTGACAACCCCAACCTACAAACCTCCTTTTAATGTACCCCGTGCACAGCGAACCGGGTCTTTCAATCAACCAAAACCTCAAGAAAATTTCTCATCTGGTTTAGCCGTGCCAGTATCGAAATTGGCCTAGACCTTGTTCTATCCCCTCATACGACAGGTCCTATCTCGGCGTCGTCACCCTGCTTTTTATTCCCTGTTCATGCCCAAACGAATTCTCGCTATTTACCGCAAATAGCTCGACCTGACTCCTTAAGTTTATTCGAATTCGCTTTATATCGCAAACTTACTTTTTATCAACACCTAAAAGACTTCAACTTCGACTGCCTTGCATATCAAACGACGCTTTCGAGCACTTACGCCTCCAACGCCACTCACGTTCCGGCGTCGCGCCGTTATTCTATACCAGTCTTCAAGTTGGCTCAACTCGCCTTTTCCAACGTTCTCCCTTCGCTCTTTGGTCCCGGCTTCTGGGTCTATAGCGGAGTAAACAAGAAGCCCCCGTAACTGGCCTTCGAATCGCACTTCTCGCCACCTTCTTCTGCTAGTCCACAACATCCCTTCAAACAACCAGCTGCCGCTGGCGACCACCGCCGAGCAGAGCTCAATTTTGAACAAAAAATCAACTCGGCGCGCCCATGCCGCGCCGGGTGCGACGTCAATAATCGACTGTATTAGACGGTGCCAATAATTGGAATAACATCAAGCTATGGGACTATAAACCGAGGCGCAATTCACCCACCGACCCCCCTCGATAGAACCACATTCAACTATTATACACGGTCACTATTCGAACCAGAACCCTCGAGGACTAGCCATCAGCCGACAAAATGTCTGACCACGAAGACTCCAGCTCCATCCCCCGGTCTGGGTATGACACACCTGTCCCGGAACTCGACGACCACCGCCACCAGTCGGTATCGACCAGGGTTGAGCGACCCCGTCGCGGCACCTTTGACAGTCTCTATGGTGCTCGTCACCTCGAGCCTGAGCCCGCCTCCCCTCCTGCTATCCGAGTTCGCGATTTTGAGGAAGCTATTATCGATGAGGAAACCGGCGATGCTTCTCCAACCGCGCGCCGTAGTCGCCGACCTACTGTGGACTCGACAGACCGTTCAATCTCGCCTCCCAACTCGGTCAAGGCGTTTGCCCAGGCTCGTCGCCGAGAGCGTGACATGTCGTTCTCCGAGCCCAACAAGCCTGACATAGAGGACGCTGCCAGCCGGGCTATGTCCATCTCTAGCAAGCGCAGCCACCGAAGCAAGCCTCATACCGTCGTCGATAATGATGCTGCCAGCTTTTCAACCAACAAGACCGCCGAGGAAGATGTTTGCTTCCCGGTTAAGGAGAGCTACCACAAGGACCACTTGTACATTGATTTCGACTATCTTGAGAACTTCGTCAACGAGCAGGCTGCTGAACGTGCGGCGGAGCGAGCGGCGGAGCGCAATGCCGCTGTCGCCGCCGCCGCTGCCAAGAAAAGTTTTGAGGACGTGCGGGCTCAGCAGAACGAATCGCGTCTGCAACGAATGGTGACTGTTGATGGCGACATCCTGGAGCCTGTCTCGGACGACTCTATGACTCGTGAAAAGACAAACCAGACTGCCGGGTCCCATAATGAGGACGTGGTCGCTGAAAAGCAGCCCGTCCCTGTTGATCCCAACCGGTTCAGTTTCTTTTCTTCGGCATGGGAATCAACCATCCACGCTGCGGATTTCGGCGATCTTGTGCTTCCGGGCGAAGATATCCGTGGGCTTTTCGAGCTACCCGATGAAGAAGAAGATGGTGTTTGGTGGCTGAACGTTAACGCGGCCACTAAGGAAGAAGTGCAGAGCATTTGCAAGTCTTTCGGTATTCATCCTCTCACAATTGAGGATATTATTACTCAGGAAGCTCGCGAGAAGATTGAGCTCTTCCCGTCATACTACTTTGCCTGTTTCCGATCCTTCTCTGTTGTCGAAGAAGATGACGGCATCGAGTACGAACCCTTCAACACATATGTCATTGTATTCAGGGAGGGTACTCTCAGCTTCAGTTTTGAGCCCAACTCTCACGCAGCTCAAGTCCGCAAGCGAATCACTGCTTTGAAAGATTACGTCTCTCTTAGCAGTGACTGGATCTGCTATGCTTTAATGTAAGTGTCGACTCACAAGCATGTCTATCGGTCATTCTAACTAACTGTCTACAGTGACGATATTGTCGATTCCTTTGGCCCTGTTATTCGCCAGCTCGAACTTGAAGCGGACGCTATCGAGGATGAAGTGTTCGTGATGCGTGAAGATGACTCCAATTCCTTCCTCCGCCGTATTGGTCGAATCCGCAGGAACTGTCTGGCTCTTTATCGTCTTCTCGGTGGTAAGGCAGATGTTCTCCGCGGTTTCACCAAGCGATGCAACGAGAACTACAAGGTCACTCCACGCATGGACATCGGCATGTACTTGGGTGACATCCAAGATCACGTCGTAACAATGGCCACCAACCTGGGTCACTTCGAAAAGATCCTGTCTCGGGCGCACAGCAACTACCTCGCGACAGTATCCATTAAGAGTATCGAGCAGGGAACGCACACCAACGAAGTGCTTAGCAAGATCACCATGTTGGCCTCGGTCCTTGTTCCCCTCAACTTGGTCAGCGGTGTGTTCGGAATGAACGTGCCAGTTCCATTCGCAACTGTTGCCGAGACCAACCTAGCACCTTTCTTTAGCATCATTGGATTCATGATCTTCCTGTGTTGCTTGTTTATGGCATTGGCACGCTGGAAGCGTTACATCTAGTGTCCAGTGCTGCGTATTGGTTGGAACTATTTCTGCATTATTTATCAGTCTCTACCTGTTATTTTCTCATCTCATAGATTCGGCGGAAATGAGCATTGTATCAAGTCATGTGTAGAGGTAGAACAGGCGTATAGTGGCATATAACGGCGGTGGTACTATTATCTCTCTTTTAGCAGTATACTTGGCAATTAGATCATGTCCATAGAGGCTTTTGGCGTTTGCGTGTCTTGAGGCGTGGTAATTTCTGCGTTCATGCATCTAGGAAGACTTTAATCAAGGTATACAGAACAAATCATTTCAAAATATTATTGCACATAAATCTCTTGATGTCCATATAAGTAATGAGTGAATCTTTTTGAGTTGAACTTGTGAAAGGCTGAGAGGTGGGGCTGTCCAGCCGACTAGGGACGATCGATTATTGGCCAACTGCTGAACAATTGAGCATCATCAAAAATCTTGACTCGAGAGAGCATCTACAATTCAATCACCAGCAAACCCGATATTATCCAAGTACCAGCAACCCATCCACAACCGCCAATATGAGTGCTCAACAACTCAACATCGACAACGCCGACCTTGAGAAGCTCAACGATAAGGATCGCACCGAGCTTCGCCAGTTTCTCGCCAACGAGCAGCAGCGTTCTCAGATCCAAGCCCGTACGTCGACCGCCTTGATCCGTATATAACAAGAGGACATGAAAGCTAACCAGTGGACTTTTTTACTTTAGAAACTCACAGCTTAACACAGATGTGCTGGGCCAAGTGCGTTCCCGGAACCATCAAGAACTCCAAGCTCGACAAGCCCGAGGAGACATGTTTGGCCAACTGCGTCGAGCGATTTCTTGACGTCAACTACCTCACGATGAAGCACCTCAACGGCATGCGCAACTAAGCGAATAGTTTCGACAAGTAGTTTTGGGGTTATCACAGATCATGTATGATGAAATTGGTGTATAATTAGACGGGACTTGGGTTGGTTGGGAAATTCTAGACCATATCCAGGGCTGGTTCAACTTTGCTGGTTGCAGAGTTTGACGATCGTGATGTGTACAATATGAAAGAATAAAGATGTGTCGACTCCTCAGTACCCAGTTTTCCTGGTATTGCTACCATGATTTAAGTGTCCCAATGTCTCGACAAAATTGACAACATGACTCGAATAGACCCAAGGTCATCCTATCATGGCAAAGATGAAAGAATCTTAATACAGCAGCATCACAATTGTTCATTCACATAGGCAAGGCGTCACTAGAACAAATAGCATATGGTACCTGACAGATAGGAACAGACAGTGCGCTGGGCGGTTTTAAATTCATGATCATTTGCACTCTAAACGAGAAGCACTTTTTACGCCTTTTCCCATGTCCCTGTCTTGCATTTTCAGCAGACAATAAACCAGCCCAATGACACGCCAGAAATCCACAAGCCAAGTGATGTTTTTAAACGAGAGAGAGCTTGTTGGCAGCAATGTCGAGAGCATCGACATCGGGGGTAAGGCGGGCGTAGGCCTTCTTGCTACCGTCAGGTCGGATCAGGGTGTTGATCTTGAGGCAGTCAATGTCGTAAAGCTTCTTGAGGGCAAGCTTGATTTGAGCTGGTTGTGTATGTTAGCTTTCGTGTGCGAAATGATTACTGAGCATCATTTGCTTACCCTTGTTGGCCTTGATATCGACGATGAAGACGAGGGTGTTGTTCTCCTCCATCTTCTTCATGGCGCTCTCAGTGTTGAGAGGGTGGATGACAACCTTGTGCTCATCGAGGCGAGGCTGGTGGGGGACAGATCGACGAGGGTACTTGGGAGCACGGCTGGTGATCAGGGTCTTGGGGCGGTGGAAGGAGGTGCTGTAGCGAGCCTTGACCTTCTTGTGGGAGTTTGTCTATGGATACTGTTAGTGAATGCCATGGCGATGAGATTGAGAGTGGTAAAAACTTACGCCCTTGAGAGCGGCCTTGGCAGCCTGAGCGGCCTTGTTGCCTCCTGTAGTCAAAAAAGCATCAGCAATCGCCCTTGTACAGAACTCGCAAAATCTGCTGCTGCATGATGCTGTAGGGGTAAAGCTTCAAGAGTAAAAAAGTTGAGGAGGGTATAATGACAATGATGGCGGCGCGGGTCGGAATTTCTCGATTGTAGCGAAGCAAGATGGTATCGACACCCGATGCGATCAAAGCAAATGAAGTTTTGAAGCAGGCGAGTTGTGACGATAGTGAAGGCATTAATTTATCGAAGCAAGATTATGGTCGAATCGAGCCGAGTCGTTGATGCCGTCGTTGTCTTCTTGATCGAATTTCGCTTTTGAGAATATTCCAGCCCGTGTGCCATTTCTTCATTTTCCCAACTCTTCCTTTTTTGCCCTCTTTGCGTGTTCAGATCATGTCGTACCTTTCTTTCCCTTGGTATCCTTGGCGGCCATTGTGTCGGTTGTCGTGGGCACAAAGTTGTCGGTGGTGCTGGTTGTCGTCGAAGTGTTCAAAGAAAAGATCAAGAAGAAAAAAAAAAAGAGTTTCGACTTTTGAAATCCTGTGTTATTAGGGCTAACTTGATAGTGGGTCCTGCGGGGAGTGGTGGCTACGTTTGATTGGTGGGTTGCTCTGAGAGTAGGAAATGTGAGGTTGAACGACAACAACAGTACAGCATATGTCTTTGGTTTATTACAATTAATTGGCAATATTAATGACTGAAATGCCTACAGGAGGTCTTTAGTATATCTTTGTCCTGGGTTTTGGGCAACGTCTTGTGTTGGGCCCCAAGCGGCAAGTCTGGATACAACACCCTATCTTTTACCGAGACTAACATGAAATTTTAGATTATTTCGCTTCAAAGGGTTCAAGCATCAATACGCAACACCCTCAGCCCAGCATCAGAATGGTTTCAAAGAAGCAAACAAGGCTAAAGAGCCTGTCAAGTAGTCGTCCACCGACAGTGAAACCCTCACGGTCTATGTCCAGGAAAGCCAGCAGAACTCTCATCAACACACATCACCAACTGGAGAAGCAACGACGACAAGCTGCAGCTAAGGGCGATGTGTCTACTGAGACTCGTATTGCCTCTGAGATTTCCAAGCTAGGCGGGCTTGATCACTACCAGAAGGCTAGTCTTCAAGGACAAAGCCTCGATAGAGGAGGCGACACGTCAAGGGTGCTCCTGGAATGGCTCCCTATGGCAGATCTCAAGAAACGCGCTCAGCCGTTGCATATGCTCGAGGTTGGATCCTTGAGTACTCGCAATGCATGCTCTACAAGTGGTGTATTTGCCATGAAACATATCGATCTCAACAGTCAGGAGCCAGGGATCACTAAGCAGGATTTCATGGAGCGACCCTTACCCAAGGATGATTCCGAGGTCTTTGATATCATCTCACTGAGTCTAGTGCTCAACTTCGTCCCCGAAGCCGAGGGGCGTGGCCAGATGCTTCTTCGAACGCTGTCGTTTCTTCGGCCTGCATCTGATCCTCCAACCGGCTCAGATGAGCTGTTCCCTTGCCTTTTTGTGGTTCTTCCTCGCAGCTGCGTGGACAACTCACGATATTTCACAGAGACTCGACTCGACGAACTAATGACAATCCTTGGCTACGTGTGTACCAAAACCAAGATGACGCAGAAACTGGCATATTCTCTATGGAAGAGGACTGGAACTACCCCTGATAAGCGACCAGACTTTACCAAGAAGGAAGTTAACCCAGGACGGACACGGAACAACTTTGTCATGACACTCAAGGCCTCAACGAGTCATTCGAAATGAAGTACTGAGGGGAAACGCGACAGCGCGTGGGGCCTCAAGGAGCTGCATATGCGTAAATTTAACCAACAATTAGCACATCCATACATATGGCGTTTTACATACACCTTTGTCGAGCACACGATAGTGAGCTGGCATTACGAGTGTGTGGTGTTGATAACGAATACACTATCGGCACGGTCTTGGCGAATACACACTGTACTGTGCAGCAATAGATCGACTATCTGCAACTCCCAACGTCGCACGACTGATAAGGGGGCGGGTAGTACTCATGCAGTTTGTGGACACCAGATCACCAGTGGACCAGATCAGCTGGCCGTTTTGGTCTCGGATTTGAGGAACTAGAAATCCCTAGCGAGCTACTACTCTTGCTTTCTCCGCACGAAACCGCCACGCCATTCGACGACTATCACTTCCCCACCCTCCGAAGGACCTTTGCATGCAGCCGTCTATCATACTCCCAATGAAGCAGCTTCTGAGTGCTTGAACTCGGTAATTGCGACTTTGGATATAGGTTCATTTGGCGGCAAGGGCGCGTTTCCAGGACGAACAACGGGCAGACTGCGCATACCCGCTCCAACAGCAGCCTTGACTTCGTCGATGTTATCGCTTAGGAAGAGCCATCTGTCAAGGTCCTTGTGCTCCGGGTGATGAGAGATGATCTTGCTGTAGCTGTCGACCTCGGTCTTGGGCCCCGCATTGGTGGTGTCGAAATAATCGGCAATAAGAGGTGTCATATCTGACTTCTCGGAATTCGTGTGCGAAAAGAGCAGCTTCTGCGCAGGGACCGAGCCGGAGGAGTAGATTATGATCTTCTTTCCACTCTTAATGGCTTCGTTGAAGAAGGTCTCGACATCCGGGAAGAGGGGAGCGACGATGTTGCCAGACTCGTAACCCTGCAGCCAGAGGTATCCCTGGAGCGACTTGAGGTACGCTATCTTGACATCGCGCTTCACGAGATCGCGGACGTGAGCTTCAAAATCAGAAGGCGAGTTGCGGTACTCCTCGGGGAAAGCATCACGGTACTTTGCAAACTCTGGACTGTCCCACTCTTGTTCCAAGACTTTGGGAAGTGCTTCGAGTGCATACGGGAACTGGGTACGGCGAACAGACCTTGGTCAGCAGGCTGCACTGTTGTTGACGTTGGGCACACTATCGCGAATCGGGGCAAAGTCGGTGAAGGGGTCAAAGAGGCTGGGGTTGAGTGAGATGCTGGGTTCCAAAGAAAAAATTCAGATGCACACGCCCAAAGACATGAGCAACTTGGCATGACCTGGTTCGGCAGCTTGGACGCCGAGAAGTGGATGTCCAAGGCCGGTGTCTAGACCGAAGAGGTTCGGGATGAGAGGCTGGGATGGAATTTGATGGGATCCATACGGAGCTCCGGGTCCCGGAGCGGCAGAGAGGGGCCGACGGAGGTGGTATGTGGGTAAAGCGGTGGAAGATGGGAGACGGAAAACGGGACGGTTGCCAGGTGAGACGGGACATGCAGGAAGAAAATTGCGCAACTCACTAGGACATCCTTGACGAAGGAGATGGGACAAACGGTTCCTTCTGTAATATTTGTTATTATGACTATTCTGTATGTGTAGATATCCAGCAAAATAACAAATACAAACAAACATATAGCATATCAAGGCAACAGCACAACCCAAAACAGTCCTTGCAAAATAAACCACGCAGTCACCTAGAGAAACTGTGGGACTAGTTTAATCTTACCGATATCAAACACCAGGACATCAAAGTCGTTGAGGTTGAGCGTCATCGTGAATTATGAGTTGTTTTTCGACAGGAAGCGGTCAAGCCTGATATCGACACGTCTTGTGAGAAGTTCCTTGAAAGGGAGAAATGAAACAAAGTGAGCTGGACAAGATCCCAAATCCGATCTGATATCCCTGCCACGATCTTTGGAGGGTAACGGTGTCGAGGGAGAGGGAGGGAAGGAAAAAAAGTTTTTCGACAATCGGAATCGGCGGTGGCCAGCTGAAGGTCCTGTTCTTCCCTGTTCCTGGATTCTAAAGAGCGGGCCGCTACCTAGCTTGGCGCCTTTCCCAGTGAGATATACTTTTCCTTTTGCCTTGGAGGTTCGAGATCCTTGAGGTTTGATGGTATCCAGCCCCCGTTTTCTAAGCTTATGCAGCAAGCAACTTGGGTCGAGCAAAGGTTGTAACAGCAGATCGAATCTAAACGACTTTGGGAACGGGGATTTTTTTCAAGATGGAGGGTTGGTGGTCCATGTGAACTGTAGCGGAAAGGCGGTCAAGAGAGTAAAGGTTGGTTCAAGATGTAAACTGACCAATGGCATATGAATCTTCTTTTTTCGACTGCAGGGTAAGATGTATAGCAAAGGTGGAATTCAATGGAAAGACCTGGCTCTCTCTACGCAAGACAGGGGTCTACGGTCAGATCCGAGATGGTTTGAATCTTTCTGAATGGTGGATCTCTAATTAGAAACCTGTTGGAAGTGACAGGTGGCAGTTTTGGGAGATTGACTTGACAGTCACGAGCTGTATGAGCTGGAGGACAAGTCATCTAGATCAGTTCACATTTAAGGAATAGTAGAGCACGGGATGGCACAGGTTACAGTAGCTTTACTGTAGCTCCGAGGTAAAGCAGGGCAGTAGCTGCAGCTTGATAGCAGTACCCAATTCCCCTGCTGTTCCCGAGCTGAGAAGTGGTCAGTTCATGCAGCTTCCAGCAACGTAGGCAGCGCCAAAAGTGCACCCCTGACAACAGCTGCACACTATCCAAAGACAGCAGAGAAAAAGACAACAGCTGTTGTGTTCCACAGGACCCTTTCATCGAACTAGGTGGAGTCCTTTCCTAAGCTTGGCCTCGTGGTAGATGGAGACAGACATGCACATACTGCACATATTGCATGTACTTGTCATTAGGCGGCCCCTCCTGCCGCTGCACATGTTACTTTGTCGCCCAGTCATTACGAGATGAAAGAAGGGTCCTTACCTGGTCCGTCCCATCACCTAAAAAACAGGTGATGGGTCACAAATTTAGCTTCATCCCATGACTTGAAGCTACCCTGGACAAGGTTTCTTTTCTGCAACTGTCAATCGACAAATCTGTAAATCAGGCCATGACTGAGATCTTGTTTGTCTTTTCGCTCTCCTCGATACTTCCCAGGGGATGAGATCTACACATGAATCATGTTGTGTACGATACGGTTTATGTCGCAATATTAGTATCAACGCGGCACAGTTTAGAGAGATATGGTGTAAGAGAAAGTAAATATTATGTTTCTGATAGAACGACGAATTAGCGCCGAAAGCGACGTGATCTGAGACAATCCAACCGAGTCCGGTGCAAATACAGTGTGCCCAATAATAAAGAGTCATGTACAGTATAATTCTAGCGTTGACTAATTCAACGTGCAGTTGTGCAAATTCAATATCATCATCGTGTCTTGTGTCAACGCAATCTCTCGTATTGTCTCCGTATCTCGGTCAGGACTGTCGATTGAGTCACAGCCATTGCCACAGTCAAGGTCACAGTCGCAATGGAAAACTCCTTGAATGCGGATGTCAATGTTTTAGTCAGTCTCCATAATTTTCCGTAACAACTTCTCCATAATAAAGGCAGCAGACTGTAAACATCACGACTCACGCGGCCGCCGAGGATGGACCCGCCCCGACTGTCGGGGGACGGACGGACGGTACTTGTCGGCATGACACGGAGTTTCAAGGTCGGAGGTAATATCGTGAAATTGTAGCGAGGTGAGTAATCTTGCAGGACTTCCATACCGAGATTCGTAATCCTATATTCTTGCCAGCTATGTACCAATGTCCCCGCTCAGATGGATCCGAGATGCCGTCATTTCACATTTCAAGATTGTTCTTTGTTGTCTTTTTACCCGAAAGGGTTTGTACAGTATTGACAAACAGGACAGATCATCAAAGACAACCCTCAGGGTACGGATACTGTAGGCAATTAATTACTGTAGTCATTGCAAACGCGCACAGATCACGGCTTGCGTGCTATACCTGTGAAGAGATGCACAGGCTTGTGCATGGCTCAGCGACACGGACCCTTGAAACTCCATCCAGTCAAGGTTGATGGCTGCCGACTGGTTCGTTACACCCATGACAAACCAGCCTTGAGCACTGTACTTTTAGTTAGCACAGGTGGCATAACACAGGTAGGTAACATTAGCATAGCCTGGTCTGGCTTTGAATCCGAGTCTGACGCACGCCCCTTTTCTATTTACGGTTTCCAGCACCAACACAGTAAGATCTCCTTGGGCAATCTTGTCCAAGCCTTGAATTATGGTTGGAAGCTTCTGGCGCTTATCAGAAAGTAAACACATTGTACCGTATCGCACAAGTAAACAGTTGGCTACTTCAGCCGCCTGCCTTTGAACATGCATTACAGTACAGTACGGTGATATGTTTATCTGGTTCCTGAGACAAAAGGGTCCTCGTAACGCTGGGGCATACCCACTGGAATGCATGATTCCAGGAGTGCATGACCAGTGACCACGCCAGACTAATTCGCTGATAACCTTGATAACTGTTAACAGTTACAAGGGTGGAGAGCGTCCGTCAAGGTGTTATGAGGGTGATCGACGACGAATGACGGCAAAAATCTGGAGACCTTGGTTTGATACTGTAGATAGCCATTGATAACAAGGGTCCTTCACAATCGAAGGAATAATTGGAATTGGACAGGCTTCAAGTCCAGGAACAAGGCCAAGAGAAACGTGGCAGAAGATCCAATCACTGGATGTGGATAATGCTGTCGAGTCTTATTGCGTAGCGGTACCTATCGAGCATCGCCCCAATTCCCTCACTGTAATGTTGGCTGAGAACTGTCTCTGTACTCGAGACTTGTGGCGTCAACTAGCTGTCAAGAAACTCGAGTTGTGATGGACGGATCAAACTGTAAACCGAGATGGCGACGAGTGAAATCCCGAGAAGGACCCTGAATTCGCATTCGGAATAGCGAGATAGGCTCACTTTTGGTCCACGAGACAGATTTAGAAAGACATCAGAAGCTGGATTTCCCAGTTTGATTCTGTTGGGGAAAGAGGACCCTTTCGTCTGGTCTGTTTCGTCTTGATTCTGTCTCTACGTTGCCTTTCTGATGTTGCCGAGCCAAGCCAGTAAAACCTGGGGACGGCAGCCATGCGGCCACTGGAGCCACGCGCACTATACGCACTATGTGCAATGCTACGCTAGGTTTCTGCAGCCAGTGGACAAGTCATCCATTCATGCCTCGAGTCCCTACACCATCTTGGTCACGCCCAGCGGTAGCTTGGCTGGTTGTCTGTTGGGATCTTCATCAAGCAGTACTCACAAGGCATGTCCTTGCAGTACCAGCCATCCAGCTGCGATATACCTCACAAAATGGTATCGGGCGGTGAAGCCGCTATCAGCACTGCGCCCACAAAGGCCCAGAAGCGCAAACCCCATTCTCAGGATGCGTATCTAAGTCTGTCTCGTCTCTTGATGGTATTGATGAATGTCAACATGAGCGTACTGTACAGTGTAGGGGCGCACACTGTATGATCACGCTGACCAACATGTCATTTCCCGCCGACCATCGCAAAAGAAGTAGTCTGCCCTCAGGTAACTCCCGTAGCTAAGAAAACGAGTCGAGTCAAAGCAGTCGGCAGTGGGACGCCGACAGAAACTACTGGAATCACCACCAATATTCGGCGCTGAGGCCCCGTAGTCGTCCGTATGACTGATGCTCAACAACTGAAGCCCGGCACCGGCCCCTTGGTGACTCCCCGATGGAAGTGAATGCTCTCCACTCTCAGTGCGCGTGAGGACTTGTTGACACTGAGCTAGAGAGCGCAATATCCCTGATAGCACAGTGCTTGGGCCAGGTTTGATCCTTGGGCAAAGTCGTCATGGCAGTAGCGATTCCGTCATGTCGGGAGGCTGTATTGGACGGATAACTTTGCTAACTTGGAATAACGTTTCCGTTTATGCCAATTGTGCAAGCATTGTGCAATCATACTGTAGCATTCGCATTCCACTGTATGTAGAGCATACAGTGTTTTGATAACGCGTATTCATTAATTTTTCCGTCCGTGTCGTCATGTTTTGATTGTCTTGTCTGTCTGGTGTCGCAATGCTTCCTGACTCTGAGACGACCAGGTATCAGCATCACCAATCCCGGGCCATCAATGTTTCTGATCGCTGCAGCTGTTTGATTGACTTTCTTTATGCCGCCATTCCCTCCCTGGCCCGTCGTGGCATCGTCCCATGGTAGCGCCATTCCTCCAGGGAGAAACAGGAGCGTTAGGTGGCCGAGACAGTGTGTGTGGTCGCGCACTGTACCTGCCTCTTGCCAATGTTGTCGTAGTGCTGTGCGCATGTGCATTACTTGGCTTGCCTCCCCTGTCGTGTTGTTCCCTTCGTGCCTGCCTCTTGCTACCCCGGCTCGTCCGGTACAAACAACAACGCAGCAAGTAAGGTACGACAGCATGTCCCATCGTTTCCTTAGTCCCTGGGGGAAGGTGGGGACTGCAACAACGGAAGGCCACCTCATCTCAGGGCACTCCCCCCGTTCATTCTAGACCCTGCTCTCACTCGCTGTCGCACCTACCTTGGTCTCGCCTGGGTGTGCCAAACAAGATGAACACTCACTCTTCTCACTAATCCAACCTATCCCATGGCCATCCATCCCTCTCCACTTGGTTCCATCACCGCCTTTCCCTCTAAGCTCACTCTCATTCTCTCTTCTCTTGTCTTCTTTCCCCTGCTTTCTTATCATCGTCTCTCCACCCTCTCTTTCCCTTCATTTGTACGCTTTCCGCATCTTCAAAGGCCTTCTTCTTTCTCGAGCTTGCCACTCTTCCTTCACTATTCTCGTCTCTATCTCTTCTGTCTACTCATATCTAATCCAATCCCATCTCAACTCATCCCACCCTTTCTTCGTTCTCAACACCGAACGATTCCGCCTCGCCACCTCATCCGAACGAAGCAAGCAAACGCTTATCGCTGTGATCCAACGACAACCAAGCAAACAGTCACACAACATCGATCACATTGCTTGAGCTATACAGCCATCCACGAGAAGAATAAGAAGAAGCGTCTTTGACTTTTGTTGTTTGCTGCTGCATTTGTCCTTGTTCGCCTAGATCTCCTATTACATCGCTCCGCTATCGCATACATCGGTTACGAGCCTCGGCCATCAACAAAAGCGCTTATTACAGTCGGACACGTCGCGTAGAACATTCGTCTTGTACTGCTTTGAGTCTAGGGGTTTTCCTCATTGACTTGCGATTACTCTCCGACCCTCAACTCTGCAGCCCGGCCTATCTGGCCCGTGTGACTCAACACTCCGGCCGAGCGTTAGGAACTCCGTCCCGGGCGAGCTCCGCTCCCCTATTCCCCGGTGCCAGTTTCAACTGGTCCGACACGTCGACTCATCGGCATCGTCGAATCCGGACACTCTACTCTACTCATACGCTCTCACTTGGTCTTGACCAACTCTCTGCTCGACTTCGTCCCAAGTCGGCTTACTGCAACTCACTGTTAAAGCCACATTCTTTTCCAAGTTCCAAAAAAACGTACACATGTTATTATAACGAATTTCATTTTTCTTGTCCTTCACCTTCTTCGACCACCTAGGTCGCAACTCATCATCACGACCATTCGATAATCATTTCTTTTGTCTGTCAACCTATCGAATACCCAATGAGCCTCTGAATACCAACGAACAACAACAACAACAACAACATCATCAACAACAACAACAACAACAAACAATCGACCTTTTCACTCTGCTTTATCATCACGACACTGTACATTGCTCATATACTTCGAATCATTCATATTTCATTGCATTAGCTTGAGCGTTTTCAACAGCTTCAATATTCCACTCCGGCCTTCCTGTTTTACCGGTTATTGACAAATTTCAAAAAATCGTTTATTCGACAACTCCCCTTTTGTTTATTTTTATTCTTTTTTCGAGTACTTTTTATTCCCCCTTTATTTTCTCTCTTCCACAATGGAGTGCCTCAAGGAAAAGTTCGTCGGCGGTGCCATTCTCAACGGACGTTATCAGACAATTTCCCCTCTCAACCATGGATCTTTTGGTATGGTCTTCAAGGCGCAGGATCTCAGGACAAACGAGCCTGTCGCCATCAAGTGTCTTACCAAGAAGAGCGCATGTCCCGATAGTAATTGGGAATTCGCTGTCGACGAGAAGTCAGAAGAGGAGGCCCTCCACAGCCGCCTCGGAGCTCACGAGAACATCGTTAACCTGATTGACTCTTTCGAGACCGATTCTCACATCTACCTCGTCCTCGAGTTTTGTGGTCAGGGCGATCTCTACGAAGCCATCCGAAAGGGTCATGGTCCTCTTGAGACTGAGCATGTTCGCCAATTCATGCTTGAGCTTATCGATGCCGTCGATTTCATGCACTCTAAGGGGGTCTACCATCGTGATATCAAGCCCGAGAACATCTTCCTTACTCATGACGGTGCTATGAAGCTTGGTGATTTTGGTCTGGCAACTAAAGAGAAGTGGTCATACGAGATGACCGTTGGCAGTGACCGTTACATGGCCCCCGAACAATTCGATTCGGCCGGCGCCGGTTACTCGCCTGCTGAGGCGGACGTATGGGCCATTGGAATCTGCCTGCTCAACATCCTCTTCTCTCGCAATCCTTTCACCACCCCCACCGAGGCCGACCCCATTTTCCTTGACTTCTCTCGCGACAAGCAGTCCCTTTTTGACGTCTTCCCTTCCATGTCTCAAGACACGTATGAGGTCCTCGTGCAGTGCATGAACCTCGACCCAAGACGGCGATCGCTCGAAGGCGCTCGTGAGGCTCTGCTTCGAGTTGTCACTTTCACCACCGACGACGAGGATGATGATGAGTACTGCGGCGCCGAGTCTCCCAATGTGGCCACTGCCAACCGCGAGCCCCTCCGCACTCCATCGATCCAGTCCCCTGCCGTCGACAATGGTGCTTTCCCCTGGGCCAAGGCTCTCCATGGTACTACTCATCTCGGCCGACAGCTTAGCGTCATTCCCGACGACGAGAGCTACACTGAGGAGCTCTTCCCCAAGTCTGAGGCGACCACCACCGACTGGTGCTCTGCCAACATGCAGACTCCCATGTCGTCTCTTTATGACTCTCACTTGGGTGCTTCCATGAAGTCACTTGCCATCAAGCCCACCGCTCGATTCAACCGGGCCCAGGCTACTGCTGGCTCCCTTCCCATCAACATGGCCAAGCCCATGCCTGCTATGTCCATGGTGTTTGGTCGACGACAAGAAGCTGTGTCTAAGAGCTGGAGTGATATGTGGGACGAGGATGAGGAAGAGGAGGAAATGGAACAGCAGCGACAAATGCTACAGGAGCTCAACGCCAGGACTTGGAGCCAGGAGAGCAAGGAGGAGAAGAAGGAAGTCGAGAAGATCGACATTGTCGAGCCTGAGCCTCAACCGGCTTCGCATGCTCACGATATCAAGGGTGACGTCGATGACGATTTGGTTGCTGATGGCTTCTTCTTCCAAGAAGCCCCAGTACCTAAAACTCAAAACATCTCTGTTACCCCTCACTACTCCTATTCTCCCTCGTCTAAGGAGCGAAGCTCCAAGGACAAATGGGCGGCACTGGGTGAGCGACGTCGAGCTCAAGCTGCTACCTTTGATTCTATTAAGTCGGTGGAAATTTCTAAGCCCCGACGACACAATTTTGGTTTTGGATACAACAAATCTTACGAAGCGGGCGTTTGGGATCATTCTAATTATCATAACAAATTTGGGGCCGCTAAAGAACGGTCTAGTATTAAGGAGTGCCCTTGGAACAAGGGAAGAGATTGGAACTGGCGTCGGGATAGACGCACCGATCTCGGAGACGTTGAGTGGGTTGGAGGTTGGTAAACGGGATTGAGTCTCTACAACTTCCAAATGTAGTTTGGCCGTCTTGAGTCCCTGGGGCGATACTCGAAGATATTTCGTGCGTTGCTTGGATTATGACGAGAGCCTTACTCGCTTTCTGTGTATAGGATATTTTAGAAACAATTCAAATACCAGAAGTACCTACTCAAACTTATTTTCAAATAATGCCTTTGTGACTTTGCTGTTTTTAACCTGGCCATCTGAAGTTGCACTCTTATACCTAATATAATGATGTATGATGCTGTAGTTGTGTGATAATAATTGAAAATAATGGGATATATCTGTTGGACTTTGAATCTTGTTTTATTCGATGGGAGTTGCTTAATCTGACCCTTATGTTGTATGACTTACGCCTTGGAGCCCTTGACAGTAGTATCCAGCTATACAGACCGATAGTAGCAAGCTGAGTTTTGAGAAAAATAAGAATAAGGCAAGCTGAGATAAAGAGGCAGATATAGAAGAATAAATAAACGATATAGTAAGTAAGGTATACTCTCGCTGTATATCTCTACTCTATATTATATGATAAATATTATAAAGTCAATAGTTATATATATAAGTAGTAATTATAAGCAGTCTTAATATAGTAAAAATGGAGATTACTGAGAACCTTGGAAAAAGAGGTTAGAGTAGTAGATAAGTAACAAAAGGGAGAAAAGAGAAGAAGAAGAAGAAGAAGAAGAAGAAGAAGAAGAAGAAGAAGAAGAAGAAGAAGAAGAAGAAGAAGAAGAAGAAGAAGAAGAAGAAGAAGAAGAAAGCATATAGCTAGGCAGAAGGCAGATTTTACAATAAATAAAGCGATTTAGCCTAGAGTACCAAAGAAAAAATAAAACACTAATGCCAGAATTTATAGAGGAGTGCCTGGGAATCATTCTACAGTCGGAGGAAAATAAACAAGAGGCTGTGCTTGTGATTCACGGGCACACTGATACTGGCACTTCCTACCTATTGACACCACAGCATTCATGCCTGCATCTTATTATCTTCATCTCCTCCAAAATCTACTTTACTGCAAGCTTCACTTCTCTGCCTTATTCATCTTTACCATCCGCCACAATGATAACCATCACGCCGGCCAGATACAAGAAGTTCCCATCACTGACCAACCCAGTGCTATCCAGAACACCTGAAAACCAGCAAATCGTACAAAACCTCAAAGAGATATACGACAACCACTCCAAGTATTGGGATGAGAGAACCAGATGCACCATTATCGATTATATTCTCAATCGTGACACCGAAGTCACAGAGCGCATCGCCCGCTCCCCCCACAGACATAAGCTCCTGCAGCGAAACATGACATTCGCCATTTGGATCGTGCTTAGAGCGACTTATGGCCTCAAAAGTCTTGCCAGACTTCAGTACCGACTTATTGAGAAGTATCCTGGGGTTGATCCTGCATCTTTCGTTAGCCCTGCCCTGGAGACCAAAACCGGTTCTCGGGAGAATGGAGACGAAGAAGAAGACAATGTAAGCCTATCACGCGACTATTGATACTCATTCTAACATCGCTAGGCTCTTACTCATCCTGCTCCGCCGCTGCCTCCCCCTCGTGCTCCAAGTATCTTTGGGCCAGTAGACGTTTCCAAGTTCACCTATCGTCATGAGCAAGACGATTCACAAAAGCGAAAGAGACTTGACGACGCCAATTTCCAACCATGGAAAATTCCCAAAATAACAGTCAAACGCGAGCCCGATACTGTAAACGTCTCGACCGCTCTTCGCCCGCCGGCCCTTTCTCAAGTCCACCTCCTACCCACGAGAGAGAGTCGCAACATGGCTTCTCCTGTTGACAACGCGCCCCTGCCTTCGATCGAAAGTCCCTATGGGTCTTTGGACTCTGAACATGAAAATTCGCTATCTCAGCAAGATAAAGAGAATTGCATCCCTCCACTCCGACCATCTTTCAAAAGTCCCGCGCAAGCCTCTCGGTCTGTTCAGTCTATCGAGTCAGGGAACATTGGCCCAGGCCCATCCCTTTCCTCTTCGCAAATCCCCTCTCTACTTGAGCAGTGCCGCAAGTTTGATGCTAAAATCCGTAAACTACAAACAGGCATCGATAAGATGAGAAAGGAGCGACAAGAAGAGCGCCAAAGCTTTGTCGAGACAATTACATCCATTCGAGACGAAATTCGAGCTGATATAGGCTGCAGTCGAGAGTCGACCATCTTGACCAAAACTGCAAAAGTCAACACCGCAATGACTGAATACAACAACGCCGTCGGGACTTTGCGTGCGTCACTCAGCAACCTAGCAACAGAGCTGGGCGAGAAACCCGAGCAAGACAAGCCCTCGCTTGACTTGAAGAAAACCGTCGATGATTTGAACAAGTCTATAGGGGCTGTAGGGACCATCTTTGAGGCACGACAGCAAGAGTTCCGGAGCCAGGTTAAGGCCTTGGACGAAACAACGGACCGATCCTAGGGGCTTAGGGCTTCGGCATAATTTAAATGAGAAAATCATAAGTGATAACAAGGGGCGGGTCGGTCATTGGAAACGTTTGCATCGTCTGGGATTGATGCTCTACAAAGAGCGTTCAGAATTATCTTGCGAACACCACTGATATTGAAACTTAAGTATATAGAACTCTCACGAAAGCCAAATGAAGATATCATCTGAGGTTACTTACATATTCTTTGCGATTTTATTCACTAGAAGCGCCTCTATTTATTACTCTGAAATGCAAGTTTTGCACCTTCTTTGAACTTTTCTAGAGTAATCGAGCTTCTCCCCCGTATCACCAGTCTAAGCTTAGAGCGCATATCTTCGTGGTGTACTGTGCAACTTCTAGTTACCTTCAAGTCTGGTCATCGATAAGATCGCGGGAGATACGTCGAAGACAGTATAAGCCTGTAACGTTGTGAATTCGACCTATTTAAAGTACACCTGTATCAAGCTAAATTTGTAGTGAGCGTTAGACGGCCTCGTATGACAAAGTGTATATGCAACCTTTGAAAGAAACATTGATCAACTTGCACACCATCTAGCTAGTTCTTCAATACGAACAACGGAACACTCCTTTCTTATGCATCCAGGGCCCTTTCTTTCTACTCAACGCCCTACTCCGCGAATCTTCTCCACGAACCTAGACTCAAAACTCAAAGAATCTAAGCCTGAATCACGGCAACCTTCTTCTAGCGCTCGGACAAGTCCGTTGAAGATCTGGGTAACGGCCCCGTAACACGATGTCATTCTGAATCTCTACACTCGCTCAGGAGGTAGATGTGTTAACCAAGAATAGACATACTTTTCCAAGTTCTTATGCATGGAACAATTTAGTGGATACCGTATTTGGAGTATGTATGACAGACATGACGTTGAAGTCAAGGAAAAAAAAGAGAACAAAAAAAAAAGAAGATGTTACCCACTTGCCTTGTATGGAAGGGATTTGTTGCTCTGTGCATTATGACCGGAGGTTACTGGCCGGGATGTCTGTCTCGTCTTGGCGTTCTTCTTCAGTTGCTCTCATTCTCCAAATTCTTCATGAGTTTACTAAAACACCATCATGAATGGATCACGCCGTTATCGGCCGACCCAAGTTCTCTCACTTTTTGTTTGACTCACTCATACTATACTAAATTAGCACTATACAATTTATCGTCAAAGCGTGGCCAAGCGACCGTCCAAATCTGGCAATTCCTTATCTCTCTCGCTCGCTCTCCCCAGAAAGGCAACTTATCTTTGTCTAAACCCCAGAAACCCCAGATTCTTGTCTCGGTACAACTTTCCCTCACAGATAAGACTAGTGATGCTTCTCGAAATCTGGGCAGCTCTGCAATTGGGCTGTCCTTATCTCTCGAGCGTTGGAACCCTTGCTCCCTGATTGTCCGTACATACATATACACATCTTGCATATATAGCTTATTTAGACCTTTGTGACCAATTCTGGCATATCGAGAACAATGAATGCATTGTTGGGTGTGGTCACATGCACGGAATCCTCCTCCGTATGCCGGCAAGACGATATGCCACTTGTTTCTCAAAGGCAAGAGCACAGTTTTATATGGTCATTATCCGATTAAAACATAGATTCAATCAGATTCTGGGACAAATGGCTGCAGATAGCCGGCCATAAGACGGGAAGGGATACAATGTGTGAGATCTCAGTGACTATCTCAGATGTGGGCTGTTTCCATTGACATGTCACCGACGAATGGTATTTTCGCCTAAAGTTAGATCATCATAGGGCCAGAAACTAATTATCTTAGACTTGATCAAAGCTTCATGATAATCTAAGTCGTTCAATAGATCTCATACGAGTTTATACACGATGTGTCACAATGTTATTTCCGTACAGACGGCTGGTGGCATGAGGGCTGCATACAACAAGCTGCACAATTACCTGCAGGAGGTGAATTTCCATTGCTAATCTCATATGATCGCAATTGCAAAACACGTTGCTGTAGCATAGAAAGGGTAAAATCATTCGTCTTCTCATATCATCTCATCAGTGACAACAAACAGACATCAAAAAGTGTCATTATGACAGATCTCTTTCACCATGGGACGTTTCTGTCAAGTGCTCCAAGAAACAGTCGATTTCTGCTCGGGCGTGGCCGAACAGGACCGCAAACTCAAAGTCGCGGAACGGGTCGAAAGAATCTCGGTGCATGACGCACAGCCATCCAAAAAGGTCACCGTCGGCACAGCAAACCCTGGGTGTCGGCCCAGACACAGTAAGCACTGTGTTAGGCAAAGGGCTCCAGAAAATTCGACAAAAGTCTTGGCTCAGTTTCTGCTAAAGAAGGCCAAGTGAGAGCATCTTACAAGGTAGACAAGCCAGATGCCTTCAAAACAATAGTTCCGTGGGCCTACACCTACTCGGAGCTTGTTCCGTAGATGAGATATCAATGACGGATGCTGTCCCGAACTGTTTGTCCTGTGCCTCTCAGTGAGACCGAGCTTAGACCATGGTGGGAAAATAGAAAATTTGTAGCGGACGACGATCGATCTTGGGATGGTCCGCACAATTTGAGCCTCATCGATTAATGCGCGTTGATCGCCGGTCGTTGCAGCTTTCAAGTGCATCCGTGCTAAAGCCAAGCTCAAGCTCAATCTCAATCCCGCCAGACAATTTTCTGGGAGCCCAATTGCCCAATCCCTTATTGCAATTGCTGCCAGATGGGTCTTGCTAGGATTGTTATTATTACATGTTGCAACTTAGTCAATCTAGACCGCTTCAAATATTGGTTTCAGGAGTTGCGACGCTTGCTCGAAAACTCCTTACGTTCTCGTCTGTCGGATTGAGTCGCTTGACATCGGATCGTGGGACAAAGTAGACGGCCCGCGAGATTGTCGTGGAGTGGAACGTTGGCTTTGTCGAAGGGAGCTCAGAGAATCCACTCAAAGTCTCAACTCGTCTTGTGATGCTTAAAAGGCCCCATCGCAAGGAGGATCCCATGGTATAATTATAGCGTAGTAAATTTGCACCTGTTCCGATGCGGCTCAAAACTGGTCCGGGCTTCTACTGTGCCATGAATGGAAAATTTTCCTAGAGGGGTGTTGTTAGCAATAAGCTCGTGCACAATCCCATTGAGATGTTGATGTTTAATTCCCAACTCAACTCATGGGTCGCCAAGATTGGTCCAAAGAGATGACCCTGAATATCTTTTGATTCTGCAAGAGCTATAAGCAATGGTGCAAGTGATGGTCACTTCTAAAAGTTCAGCACTTGACTGAAATACAGCCACCAAAGACAAAGACGGCGTCAAATTCTGGAAGCCGACTCCTAGTAGCACGTTGGGCTAGGGCGATTCGTGATTGCACCTTCTGTTGACGCCCTTTCCGAGTTGCGACCTGCGTGCCAAGTGTATAGGCAGACAGGGCTGAATTGAAAACGCACAAGGGCTTCCAAGTGACAAGTTGAACAAGTTGGCTGAGGTCAAGGGCCCCTCCAAATTTTTAGGTAATAGAAGAAGCACCGTGCGGTTAGAGTTTGATGCATGATCTTCAGGAACCAGCGATGCATTATAATACTGTACCCTGACCTTGGAAACCATGTCCCTTGGCGGCAAAGGAAGTATTCCTTAGTCAAGAGCCTCATGATGCGGCTCTCCTTTTTCGGTCTCGACCAAGGAACTTTGACGGTGTGCACAGTGATACTTGCTGATCTAAAAAGAACGTAGCATACCGAAACTCGTGTGGACGAATCGATGTAGTTCTGCTGCGTAAATGACCGCTAAGAATGGTAATCCGAATATTCAATGCTCCACTCTGAACTACACGAGCTGACGACGAGAGCATCTAAAACTGACACCACGAATATGTGTGTATCGGCTAATGCTTCGATCTCAAAGGCGGGGAGGCTTCTGGCGCTTCCTCGGAATGGGAGCAGCCGCGGCTCGGGAGTAAATGGGTGCCGTTTCTGGTGCCGTGTATCAAAGTTTGTGAAATTAGGTGACTGTTTGGCAGCGTAGCAATATCATGGGGACATGTTAGCCATTGGTTAAGTTCATTGTGATAACTGCCGTGTTGATGTTGTTTGGTTTCATGCAAACAGATATCTGGTCATCTCGATCGATGGGTCGACGCAATTACTTGACGCAAAAGTCGTCGTAATACGTTGAACCGGATGCTTCTGTTGTAAGTTTGACGTTGAAACAGCCTCGCCACGAGTCGTCGTTGTATCATCAACAACTATAGCCACGTGTATTGCTCGAAGCCAGTGATATTGATGCTGATACAGCGTTGGCGTTGTTAGCCTCGGTCAGTTATTTCCTCTAACACAGACAGTCTCGCCCAGAAGGGCAAATTCTACCCTATGGAAACGTAAAAGGTGAACCCTGTCGATGGGTCATGAGCTGAAGTGACTTTCACGATGTTGTAGAAAACGGTTTGATTGGGGGGCGTGTGGTGTTGTTCATCTCCAATTAAAAAGCCTGGTTCTTTTGTTTGGATCGAAAACTCTGAAGTCTGAATCAAGAAACGAAAGCCCAAGTTGGGCTAGTGTAAGTGGTCAGTTCTTTTCCTCAGAAATTTTCCCAGGATCTTTTATTGTCTTTTCATGACCGTTAAACCTGGAACTTCTTGGAAGGTGAACGGAAGGCACTTGTTAATCCACAGTGCGGTACGTATCTGCCGCGCTCCTTTTCTTGATTGGACAGTTTATAGCCGCGGCTACCTTTCACCTTAATATACGGTCAATGTCAATCAGACAGAACAAAAAAAGTCTTCATCTTGTGGAGACAATTCTCCACTGTGTCGCTACTGTCTCTTTGCAGGAGAAAAGGGCCAACAGGACGTGGTCCACACCGTGTGCATTGAATATTCATGATAGTAGAACTAAAACCTGGCAGACTAAAACTAAACCTAGAGTAAACGTCCAAGACGTAAATTTTTGATCAGAGGCGATCGCGCAACCGTTTTTTACTCCATAGGCGGTCTTATTGTGGATCGTTTCCGAAGAAATCCTTCTCCAAATCCTTCTCTTTTGTCTAGTATTGACTTTGTTTAGTGGGACCGGCATCGGACGTGGGAATCACCACACTTGAACCTGTGACTGTGACTTGGACGATGCACATAATCGAGCTTCGTGACATTTATGGGCAATAATTGGCGTTGTTGACACCATGATGACCCATGGATCATGCAAATTTGAGTGCAAATCTTGGCTCTCCCATCTTTACCCCAATCTCCAATTCTGCTGCCCCGTGCAAAGTCCATCAGCCACACGATCTGTATTTGATCAGATAAGTCCTAGATTGCGTTATTGTTACTGTATCAACTACTAGTTGCCAGTCATATCAGAAAGTCAAATCATAAACGGACTATACCATCTGTACAACACTACCTTGTACGTTGGTTCGCCCATAGACGCTCGCCTCCGTCGGCCGAGACGTGGAGCTAGCCCTGTACAAGTTCCTTGGCCAATCATGTCGCCTGTTTGCCTGTTCTGGGCAATACAACTCAGATCTCTCATGGCGTGTTTTCGTCTCGGCACCTGACTTTTCCTCTGACAAAGTATTCAAGCGCATACACCGCCTATAACCAATGAAAGCTTCACAGGACAGGTTGTTTACAGTTTCATCCAAAGTGATGGACAATCTACTTGATCTACCCGGATGAGGCAGATACCTGCTCAATGGCCCCTTTCCCATCGGCATTTTTCACCCAGTTGGGGCAACAAACAGCGGAATTTCAACTATAGTTGCATCGCCTAGGGGATCCATTTAGTGCGTCTTTGGCGCTGTAACCGGTGAATTTACAGGACCCTGCACCGCTAATGACTCTCCGTTGCTGCACCTTCCTTTTGTCTTGTCAACTACACGTGGCTGCCATTTCCACTGCTAAAGTGTCGGTCTCAAATGTCCGGAAAATTGCACCATCGCAGCCAACAAACACCATGATTGACTTTAACACTGGTATTGATTAACCAACATATTGCTTATTTGAGATGAAGTATCTGACGAGATACATGCACGTCAAGCCAAGACTGATTACCAGTGGTTGGAGACCCTTTTCCACGTCATGTGCTACTGCATCGAATCATAATTTACTGGGCCGATGCTGTGCCTTCTCGATCATTTCCGTCAAGAGTCTCCCAAACAAAAGCTAACACAAGCACTAGCCAGCTACGTTAAGTCACTGAGATCAAAGGGTCCCCCCTTGATCAACCCTGTGGCTTGCCGGGCCGGCCTTCGGTCTACTGGACCGATGCTCTCACTCAGAGTTCTGCTACGTAGCAGAGGCTAGCTAGTGTGCATCTAGAAGAAAAGATGTGCGCTCGGAAGTATCGCCCGTCTGATTTTCAGAGCATTGCCGAGTCAGATCAGGAGGGGGTTTATGCATGGCCGAGAGGAAACAATCTGGGTTGCTGCATCATGTTGCACTCATGATCGAACCAGCTAGCATAGTCTACTGCACAGCAACACCAGCAAACCTGCTTCCTAGCATTCAATTCAAGAGCTCTCCAGAACCGACTTTCTTTTCCAAACAATAGCCGGCCATAGCCGGGCAGCGTCGGTTCGTGATTGTGGAAAAAAGAATCCGCCCTTTGACCTGGGCTATTCCACGTACGGGCACTGAACCTGGTTCTACGATCCACGATCGCAGTGCGCAAGATCCAACGTGCCTTCTGTTGACCCACAAGGTACAGCATCACGGTACACTGTGCGCTCTGTCCCTGATGGACATCAGATCAGAAACGTTGGATCGTGCCAAGTGAGCATTGGCTCATGATCCGTACCGTTTGTAGAACCTGGTCTTGGCCAACCGCAACACCGCGTTACTCCCATACGGACTGTGCCAGGGTCTGGTATGGACTGTGCTGATCTCTCCTAGGCCTGGCCATGGAAGCCCACCTTGTTGGTCTCACGCCCTTCGGAGGTCTCCAGGCCTAAGACCTAACCACAGCCCACACGCCTAAAGGGGTTACAGGGCTTCCAGGGCGCGAGTAGAACTGGAAGAGTCAGGCGGGAGCCGTCTGTCAGTGCATATCCACAAAGGCGCCACTTAACAAGCTCGCCATAACAGGGCCTCTTTAGCTATGACACATCGTTTCCCCAAGGAACGGAGCACGAGTCGAAGAGTCTTGAGTCCAGATATTTAGTCTTGGTGATGCCCTCGATCTTCCCACTTGAAAGTACTCTCCAGATCTTCCCCATATCCATCTTGGCTTATTATCAAGTTCCCCAGACTTATTCACACCATCTATTTCAGGGTCGACAACATCTAGTCCCCAGACAGACATTGACTTATAAAAAAGTTACCTGCCTACCACTTACACACAAACGCAACAACAACAATAACAATAACGGCCAACGATTCAATTGAGTTTCTAGAAGACAATTCAGACCAATTGATATCCCCCCAGTTACTCTTCGAAAGATTCCAAGGAAAACGAAAAACAAACTGCTACTCGCGTTTCCTCAACTAACTACCGGCACTCAAACTTTTGCCCACCCTCACGGAACAGGTTTGAGTCAACTTCAGCGCCATCGATCGTCATTACCGACTTTTCACTTACGCCCTTGGTTGAAAGTCAGAAGACCTTGTTGTCCCTGGCCATCTCCCGCCCCATCACACCATCTACGGGCTTCGAAGATTATTCCCGGTATTACATCACACTGAAAGAGTTTTTTTTGCGAAAACTCGTTCACGCCGTGTGCTATTTTAGCCGCCAACCCCCACCATCTAAATCCGTATAAGAGAGCGTCTTACAGAAAGATCGCTCATGACCGCAGCCATGCCCCACCGCGTGGCTAACTTCATTCGCACCTCATCTGGCAACATTGCTCAGATCAAGAAGGTTGCCCGATCACGAACAAGCAGTCCATACACATCAGACGGCGAAGACCGTCCTCAAATCCATGCTGTCAAGATGGCTGAACTCGCTGATGCCGTCAAGAAGCACCACCGCATTTCTCTGCCTTTTGGCAAGTCCCACAAGGATCACCCATCAGATGTTTCCATCGATTGGAGCATCGAGAGCCCGCCAGTAGTCTTCCACGGCAACACCGAGGAGAGTACTGGTGCGCTCATCACTGGGCAGATGTTTTTGGATGTCAAGGACGAGATTGTCGAGGTTGGAAGCTTCGCTGCTTCTCTCAAGCTTCACGTCTACCAGAAGAGACCCTACCAGAGCCACTGCACAGACTGCCAGAACCAGTACACTGAGCTTAAGAGCTGGCAATTCCTGGCCCAACCTACCACTCTCCGAAAAGGTCGACACGCATTCCCTTTCTCTATCCTCCTCGATGGTCACCTTCCCGCTACTATGGACACTCCCGTGGTCGCCATTTCTTATGAGTTCAAGGCCGATGCCTACGTGACAAAGAGCGTTCACTCAGCCAGTGGCTCTGTTACACCTATCCGATTCGAGCGAACTGTACCTGTGAAGCGATCCCTCCCCGAAAACGAAATTCCTCACCACTCTGTTCGCGTCTTCCCTCCCACCAACATCAAGGCCAGCGCCCACTACAACAATGTCATCCATCCTACTGGCACCAACAATGTCAGCCTTCGACTTGATGGCCTCATGAGCCGCAACGAGAAGGCCAAGACCATTGACTTCTGGCGACTTAAAAAGGTTACCTGGAGACTTGAGGAGACCATCAAGTCCTCGGCTCCTGCTTGCGAGCGACATGCCCCCGCTTCAACTCAAGATGCCGAGAAGAAGAGCCTCCCCCGCCAGGAGGTCCGCGTTCTAGGCGAGAAGCACCTTCACGATGGCTGGAAGTCTGACTTTACTGGCACTGATGGTAAGGTTGAGATGGAATTCGACTACTTTGCCAACCAGTACAAGTCTCACACCAAAGAGCTCAAGTTCGCCTGCGACACCAAGTCTCTGGAAGGTGTTGAGGTGACCCACTCACTGCTCATCGAGCTTGTTGTCTCCCGGGAATATGCTCCCGAAGGCAAGCCTCAACTGGCTACCCAGACTGGCACCGGCCGCATCTTGCGTATGCACTACGGTGTTGTCATGACTGCTCATGCTGGTATGGGTGTCAGCTGGGATAATGAGGCTCCCCCCGTCTACCAAGACGTGCCTCCTAGCCCCCCTGCCTACCCTGCCATCGAGTCTCCCATCCAGTACGATAGCTTGGAGCATATCGACGCCCATCGACTCAGCAGCCTTTCCAACTCCCCTCTTGTTCTCTCGGAAGATGAAGGCCAATAATATGACCTAGTCAACTGAATCTCGTTGCTTTTTTTGTTTAATGTTTAATTTTCTTTGTCACCAACTGCATGAGATACGCGGCGATCCGATTTGCACAAAAGAAGATACCCCAGAAGCGTTGAAAGGAAGACTCGGTTGCTTCCACATATGTTACATTTTATCAAGAGAAGGGAATACAGCACATACGGGAAATGACCTTTTGGAAGTGGAGTTTGGAGTACAAAAAGTTACAATGAATTGAATATGAAGGGGATAGAAGAGCCCATGTGTTGTACAGCTATGAAAGCTTCTGTATCTAGTCACGAATGAATCCGGGCCGCTCAAGAAGCATGCCCCAAGACGACGTTTAATAATGAAATATTCAACTCATAAACTAGAGCGTTTTTATGTGACCTTTCGCCAAAGCTTGTAATGTAAGGCTTTCAATGTTGCTGTATTTTATTGTGATGGTGTAACATCACGATGATAGACATGAGGGCTTTGGGTCTACGTTTGCAGACCCAACATGACGGCACAGTTCAATTCTTGTGAAACTCTAGTCCGCAAACGTCGATGACGCCTTTCATTCCATGTTGTCCAGGCAAATTCCCAAGTCGAGAGAGGTTAAATGTGAGTCAGATGCAGCCAAGAACGAGGCGTCCGGGGTTAGATAACCGACGCCCTTGTGATAACAACTCCAACACAACCTCTGAGTTTGGCAAGAGGGCAGCAGTCTGGGGTAGTTGAGGGCGGGGGACATTCAGACAGTGTAGAGGGAGTCATGGTAGGTTAGTACAAGCTATTTGTGCTTGGAAGCCTGCAGTATGTGTAACGAGCACGCACATCAGTCCACGCAGCCTTTACAAACAGCTTCAACATGTGATTGCGACATGCATGAAGGAAACACGGGACATAGAGGTAGGTATGCGGCCGCTGGTAGTGTTTGGAACATCACGCGATGGAGGTGCTACAAGACGATGATTTCCTATTATGGGCAAGCATTGACACAACTCCCGGGATTTAGTATCCGGGAGTTGATCATGTACCAACCGTTTGAAGACTTCATCAAACAAGACAAGCATTAGAGTAAACGGCAGTGACTTGATGCTCCGGATGTTTATTCCGACAAGCTTCCGGTCTGAGGACCTGTTGCATGACTGTAGCTACTTTTAGTATATGTATGTTTAGATAGCAAATCGTGTTTTTGGTCATATCCACTTGGATGGATGAATGGCTCGGTTGAAGGGGAAGGGGTGTGTGTTTTGGCGTCTCGGCCGGGTTGAAGTCTATGCGTAAGTAGTATAGAGTGAAGAGATACAGGTCTCGTGACCGGCGCCTTGAGACGGGGAAAGCGGTTTCTAAAGTGTAACAAATCCTCGCTATACCTGGGATAGAACAAAGGGGAAAACTGGATATTTTGGGATGTTCCACGAATTGAGAGTCATGCTGGACATGTGCTGTTGTGAGGGCTTGACCGACATTTCGTCGATTCATGCTGACCACCTGAGAGAGCCTGCAAGTGTTTGAGAGATACGGATATAAAACGGTGCCTTGTCTAATCATGCAAGATAGGTAGGTAATCAGCAGACAAGCAAGTACCTGAATATGCCAAGGACTTGATAAGAATGTCTCAAGATAAGTTACCCCAGATTTTGAAAGTTGGTGTTTACTTGATCTGGAGTGTGGATACTTGAATAGCTTGATATGATTGATGGGCCAGACCCGGCATCATGATGTTTATCTATCAGGCACAAGATAAGAATCAGTGAGTTCCTGAACAGTACCTCCTGACCGTATAGAGAGATAAGACATTTTGGTCTTGATATTATCATGATGGTCTGTCAGTCTGTCCCTGTAGAAACAGCATCAAAATGTCATTGCTTCTGTATCAAGTCACACGACGTGTAGACTTTTCCTTAGTTCCATGTTTCACTCCCGTCAACTCCCGCGGGCAAGGAATTGAAACTGGGATAGACTAAAAATTGATGCATTGAAAGTGAGTGTGTCGGATTCGGAACATGTCCGAATTTGTGCCTGAGGTTAGACTACCTAGTCTAGTTGATGATATCCACTTCCCTTGAACCGAGAACAAGCTATGAGTAACAATTAGTTCCTTCTTACCCCGGATTTCGGTCTCTCCATGTTACTCATATAAACTCAGATTATTCCACCCAATTCATTTCTTGTCCTGCTCTTTGATACTCACTCACATACTCACCTAACAAATTGATCAGTTACTTTTACCTACTCTCACCTATACCGACTACACATATACAACTCGTTGTAAAACACACCGGAATGGCCCATTCTTCAAAACCACAAATGGAAACACAAAATACCTTTGCCGAAAGAAGACGATAATAGACAAAACACAACCACCAAAATCCAAAAAAATGGCCACTTGTAGTTTCAATTCGCTACGGCGGCCTTCCCTGACTCTCATGTCGGAAGCTAAGAAGAGGTCCTTTCGTTTTAATCCTGTCATGTCCCCAAAAACTGCTACTCGCAGCTTGGCCACCGTCACCGCTCAAACGACACAAACTCCTCCTCCACCGCCTATGATGATGGAGGATCACAACACTAGACTCATCAACATGGGATACAACTACAACTACATCGAACATGTCGAGAACCTAGAGCAGTACTGCCACGGAGGCTTTCACCCCGCCACCCTGGGTGAGACTATAAATAACCGCTATCTCATCCTCAACAAGTTGGGCCATGGCGGTTACTCCACTGTCTGGCTCTCGTGGGATATCTTGAAACAAAAGTATGCCGCGCTGAAAATTGTGCTGGCTGACTTTGGAGAGGATTCAACAGAGGTAGATGTTCTTCAACAACTAGAGGCCAAAGCTGGAAAGAAACACCCCGGAAGATCTTACATTCGCCATATCACTGACAACTTCCACTTCGACGGACCCAATGGTAGGCATACATGCTTGGTTAATGATCCGGCTATGATGTCTTTGAGACTCGCAAAGGATGCGTCATTCTCAAAACTCTTCCAGCCACGAACAGCCCGAGCCATTGCCGCTCAGGTCGTTCAATCCGTTGCCTATCTTCATGAAGGTGGCGTGGTGCACGGTGACCTCCATCTCGACAACATCCTGCTGCAGCTTCCTGAACGAATTAGATGCTTGTCCCCGGATCAACTCCATGAGAGACATAGTCACCCTACAAAAGTGCCCGTGACAAGACTTGATGGTCTTCCTCTCGATGACAACGCTCCACGAAATGCTGTACTGCCAATCTGGTTAGGCCAGAAGAGTGAACATGTCGCTCTGGCGGATGCAAAGATTCTCCTCGGCGACTTTGGCGAATCGTTCCTCCCCAGCCAAGAGAAGCGACAGTACTCCAACGCACCCATCCGCTACAGAGCTCCTGAAACTCAATTCCCGGATATCTGCCCATCCCTATCCTTCAGTTCCGACATCTGGAGTCTAGGCTGTCTCCTCTGGAACGTCGTTGGCCAGCGTCCCCTCTTCGACGCCTGGACTCTCTCCGAAGATGACATCCTGCAGGACCAAACCGACCTTCTTGGCGAAATCCCAGAAGAGTGGTCCGCATACAGCTCCAAGCGCTCAGAGTACTGGATCGAAGACGTCTCGGCGGAAGATTCCGAAACACCAACCCAATCCAATGGTTGCACATGGGAATCCCGCTTCGAGCGTTGTGTTCAACAAGGTCGCAGGGAAAGTGGCATGAAGCCCATGTCCAAGGATGAAAAGGATGCTTTCATCGATATGATGAAGACAATGATGACATTCCGTCCCGAGGAGAGAGTCTCAGCTAAGGAGCTTATGGAGTCAAAATGGATGAAGCAGTGGGCTTTGCCGGAGCTGAGAAAGCTTGCGGCTTCATAATTGACGTTTTCACAAATAGGATTGGTACTTTTGAATTAGCGAGTTTGGGTAAAAAGCGATGTTTTATGGGTTACGGTAATCAAAATTTAGTAATAGCAATTTATGATATATGCTTGCATTGTTGGACATAAACTACATGTGATATAAATACCCGCGGGGACTCTTGCAATTCCGATAGGCCATGCCTGCTATGTTGTTTAGACTTTGTCAAGATTGCTGGTTATTTCTACGTGTAATATGGGAAAGCACATGCAGAAGCAGAGGCAAGCAGGATATCACAAGGTTATGTGCCAGTCCCAAACAGACAAACTCACGTCACATTATATAATGGTTGTTTAATACTACCAACAAAGAGGAAACCAGAGATTATGTCAGCTAGGCTTCTACCGTCCTGAATTTCAAATATAAAGAGCCCATAACATCCCGGACATTCTGTCACTGTCATTCATCATCACTTTATCTTTTCCGAACCCTCTTGCCCTTCTCTATATACATGATGCTATACTATATTCTTTCCCAGAACAGTGGGCATGCAAATACTTGAAACAGCTCCTTAAACCTCTGGCTCGCAAGACAAGTTCTTGAGAGAGGTATACGTCACAATCAAGCAGTCGATGTGATCGAGTGACGAGACGAGGTAGCAACTGCGCAACTTTTTTTTCAACTCGGCCGACCAAAAGAAACAAAGCTCACAGCAAACACACTTCCCTACCTAATCTAGCCTGTAAGTCTTCCAAGTTGGAGCAGCAGCTCGTCACGGACGGAGTCTGACTACCTTTCTGAACGGGTAGATGTTGTTAACAAGCGAGGGGTTTAACTGGTAATTTACCAGGTTGAGAAGTAAGTTAACAGTAACCTTATCGGACTGTGAGTAGATTTAGCAATGCTACTTGATGCTTGCTAATGCTATGGTAGCTATATTGGAAAAGTACAATGTGGAATGAAGAAACAGGGGCCGCAGGTTCAACATTATCTCAACATACACAAAACGGTCGTTGACTGAGCTCAAGAGACATGCCCAGCACACCTTCAAGTAGCATTCCTTGTTGCCTACCCTTACCTCTTGCGTACGCATACTGGCAAATCACTCAATAAGTGACAACCGACAGGCAAAGGAGAATGCTGATGGGTAGGAGTGAAAGCGACGCTTTAAGGCACGCTATATCTGCCCTCTCCCCCATAGCTGTCCTCCGGTCCAACTTCATTCAACTCATTAAACATTCCCTACGGCCCTCTACCAGACTCAGCCGATCTAGAGTCTCTCTCGTCCAACTCACTGTTCCCCGGGCTAGACCCAGGCCACCCGAATCAATTGTCTCTGGTGCTGTCGCGCACCGTCCTGCCATCAATGCCACTCCACTCCCGCTCTTGTTAAGAGGGAAGGTCATAGAAGAGGCCCCGCGTCATCGGATAGAGGGTTGTTGGTGGTGGCCAGTAGCATCGGCGTCTACAACGACACCACACGATTTGCGCCATGTTAACTATCCAGGGTATAAACCTGGCAGAACCGTGGTCGAATCAATTTTGGAGTCTACCGCCGCCGCGTCTTTGACGAGACAAGCCGAACCCGACAACATAGGAGGATTGAGATACTTCCATATGCAAGCTCCCCCTAGACCGGCATCTATTATACCAACGGACGAAATTCCAACCATGATTATATGCAAACGGTACCAAACACCAAAAAGGCAGCCAAACCTCGTCACATTCGTTCCAGCCCAATGTTCGCTGAATTGTTAGAAACGATACTGCTAGGTACAACAGACTACGACATCTTTACCGAAAGGGTAGACTATTGTCACACTTTTAGATGATATTCACTCAAGTATATCACAAGCTCAGAATGGAGAAGACGACATGCCATTCAGAAAGGCAGCCTGGAGTTGCTTCGGATTGCCGACTACACCAAGGTGTATTATCACATCGTCGGCTCCGGCGGAGTGACTGATTTCCACATTGAGGACAATGGACTTCGGTCATTCAACCTCTGCTATTTGGGCTCCAAGTTGTGGGTGATGATCGAGCTTTGTGCAAGAAGCTATCCATAATGGTCTCGCACTATTCGAGCGAATTTCTGGTAAAGCGAACACCACCAAGCCATCACTCCATAACCCGTTGACGGGCTATAGAAAGTTACTTCTTTTATGTCTAGAATTTCGTGCGGCTATGGGCCCGGTAATTCTAAACATACGGAAAAAAAAAAAAGCATGGTGGTAAGTGTTCTAGAGTTGACCTACAACATGTCACTGACTCTTCTTTAGCAGGACCTCACTCATACCAGTGTTTCCATTCACCAATTCACCCGTGTCAATCCAACAACAGCACGCAGTGACGACTTCGAGTGTTGACAAAGACATTTTCATGCCATATTATTCCCTAGATAGCACCTGATGAGATGTATCGTAGTATCTCAACCGAATCGAGCGACATCATTTGGCTCCGCCGTGAAGATGAACAAGCAACAAAAGTCTGGAGGAAATTATCCTAGGACCATCTAAGAACAGATAAAAGAAGAAAGCTGGTCATTGTGTCTGAAATAGGAAGAATTCTGATTAGATAGGCCCCTTATGAGCAAGATCTACATAGCTTAGTCCCACTTCATACCATCATCATCGTACTTGAACAATCTTAGAATCGCTGAAGCAACCATATCTCCATCATGTTCCAAATCAGCCGTCTCAGCCGCCCGATCGGCATGCTCGAGATCCTTGATTCCTCCGCTGTCAACCCGCATCTGAATCTGTCTCTTGACCATGTCCTCGTCAAAAGCCAAGTGTGCTTGTGTAGTGAATAATCTGTTGGGAATGTACAGACCCTGAATGGGAGTGTGGTCACTCTTGCCCCAGATGTGGATATCTGTGTCGGGTGGGAGAAGACCGTTGGATGACTCGATGGAGGGGCCCTCAAGTACTTGATCTTGATGCATTTGGTGAAGGTAGACTTTGTCGTCATGGGTTCGGAAAAGGCGCTTGCCAACGGGTGTGAGAGTGATGGCGTTGTGGCCTAGCTCCCAGTCGTTTGAGGGTGAAGGGCCAACCTTTCCACCCAAAAGGCGTGAGAGGACCTGGTGGCCAAAGCAGACACCAGTGAAGTGAAAGTCGGGGCGTTTTGTCCATAATTCTAGTACATAAATAAGCATTGTGTTTAAATGTCAATTGGTAGTACTTACGCTTCAAAAGATCGAGCAACTCGTGAATCCAAGGGTTGTCGCCGTGGGCGTCATACATGCTCCCCGTAATAAGTAGACCATCGTAATCGTCAAATTCCTCGACCTTTGGCATGCGACCACCCTCTTCCGTGACAACAAAGACTTGCTCTGTTTCAACGCCTAGAGGAGGGTGATGCTCCTTACCTGCAACAGAGAAGTGGTGGTGTAGAATCTCACCAAAAGAGCCGCGCTCTGTTTGGGTGTTTGGATGGGGAGTATCGGTCTCGAGAACAAAGACCTTGACGACATGAGAGTCGATTGTTGGCTTGTAATGCTGACCCATGCTGCTTGCTGTAGTGTAGAATTTCTTTGGTGTTGAGAGTAAAGGTGAAGAAAAGGGCAGAAATGGTTGACGACGAGATGTGGTAGTAGTATAAGTTCTGGAAGGTGCAGGTGGAATGGTAGTTGCAGTGGAAAGAGGAAGCTGCCAGGCAACGGTTGATCTATTTAAACGGCAAGAACGAATACAGGTTCTGAACATTTTTTACAGTATTTTAATAGGTAAGATGTATTCCCAAAGACATCATATGCAGCTTCTTTATTGGATCTTGGCGAAATGTTTTTATGGCCGTTTTTCCATCTTTGACGTCAGCGAAGTCTCTTGTCCAAAGGCAAACTAGAGTAAAGTATTGAAAAGCCAAGACCGTGATGACGGCAGCGGGTCAAGGAATTAGTGGGCTTGACTTTCTGTCACAGAATGAATCATGTTTATACCGGTAATTGTTCTTATTGTTCCTGTAAATCAGGGGATCATTACAAGGATGTTTTGTTCCAATAGGAAAGAGATGGATTTACCAATCGAGAGGATGGATGATAACATGAGGGGGAAAACCCACACCACCCTAAAAAGAAGCATACATACAACTTTACTTACTTACAACCTGCTAACCTCTTCAGATCCCCAGTAAAATGTACTAATCTCAACTCCAACATACTCATCACTATACTTCATTGTCTCTTCCCCGTCTCCAGCCGCACCCGCACACACAAGCAATGGCATAAAGTGCTCTCCTCCTCTCGGAGGATGCATCATGTCGGCATACGGAAACGCCCTCCAACCCTTGAGCGCTTTCCATCTCTCCTCCTTTTCCTTCTTCATTGCCGCGTCTGACAGCACGCTGCTCCACTCGTCAGATAAAACCCGGAACTGCTTCTGCTGTTCGGGCCCCGAACCACCAAGCATCATCATGGCGCGGATGTTATGAAAGCTTGCAAAGCCCGACCCAATGACGGCAATGTTTTTAGCGCGCAGTTTACCCAGTGCTGCGCCCATGCGAAGATGCTCTTCTGGATCCTCGGATTCGAGAACCGAGACTTGGATCACGGGGATGTCGGCTTTGGGGTTGACGAGCAGCAGCGGGATGAAGACGCCATGGTCCCATCCCCGCTCGTCATCCAGCTCAGGCGTTAAACCTTCTGCCTTGAGCGCATCGGCAATCTCGTGTGCAATTTCTGGATGGCCTGGCGCGGGGTACTTGAGAGCATAAGACTCTTTGGGGAAACCGTAATAATCGTAGAGGAGTTTATGAGATGCGCCTGACGAGATGGTGGGTTTGTCGGTGGACCAGTGGGCTGTGACTAGGATGATGGCTCGGGGTTGATCTGGGGTACCAAGCTTGAGGATCTTGGGTACACGGTTCTTGAGGGAGTAGACGATATCTTTATGCTTAGGATCGCCCAAGATAGGCATAGGACCTGATCAAGTTAGCCATCATCATGTTTGAAGTATGTAGAGTTGCTAACTTACCACCACCGTGGGATAGCGCAATTACGGGAGCGACCTTTGACATTGTAGGTGTATGCGACTGAGAGAATGATGATTTGAATGTTGTTTTTGAAATAATTCTTGATGCGATGCCAGTATGTCTCAACATGTGCTACTTGTCTGTTGACTCTTTCTTGACCTCAGCTCTCTCCCATCATGGCGGGGCCTAGGAAGCTATTTATCCTCCACGGTCATGATAAGGTCAGTACTGGGCCATCATGGCTTGTGGAACCATTTCCGGTTCCCGTTGTTAACTTCCGAGACTTCATTGCATTCGACGAATAGAACCATACTTGGTCATTACCCGCGCGCGATGCTCCACTTGTTCTCCCGCACTCCATTTGTAATCCGAACTTCGGCTCTCCCGTGCCGACAAGACTGACTTGTCATGATAATCAATCTCGCGCGCGGAAGACAAACAGAGTTATCCAGACAAACAAATAGTCCAATCTAATTTATGGGATGCTCTAACAAGTACATGCTTGACTAGATAAACACAGATACTCGGTCCCTTCCATGACCAACCGCCTTGAGCCGCGATCCAATCTCAAGAGGACTTCCTTCTGTTACCATGAAATGTCCAGAATCCTTTGTCGCCGTTTCGTCTGCTCCAAGGATCTTGTAGATATTTGTACTAACAAGATCAATTGCCTCCTTCTCATCCAACCGCCCACCTCCGTTCTTGTAAGCAGTTCCAGCAGCGAAGCCAAGATCACGCAGCTCCCAGTCCTCATGGAGTCCAATTGCCACTGTCACGCCTGCATCAAGAAGTGCATCGGCAACTGTGCCATTTGTAAGTGGCGCGCCAGTGAGTACACGACGTGAGTCCCAGCTATCACCGGTCGACTGCAAAGGCGACAGGATAACACCAACGCCGGCCTCTCCAAGCTCCTTAGCCACCATGTGGGACTCAGCACCACCGATGATGGCCACCTTGAGGCGCTGAGCCACGTTGGAAGTCTCGAGTAAACCTTCAATCTCAGACTTGATTCGAAGAGCTGTCGAAATCCCATCTGCACTGTTGATCGTAAGGGCCAGGACTCGCTCACCATTCACCACCTTCTTGAGATAGGCTTCTTCTGAAAATGGGTTAACAACAGGCTGAGTGGAGGTTGCAGCCGTCAGTAACTTGTTTCTCAGTCCACCAAAGGCGGCCGAGTAGCTAGTTGTACCCCTGATACTGATGTCCAGAGTGTAGTGAACTGCCAGATCAGGAGCAAATACAGCCCCTTCTTCGATACTAGTCAATGCTGAAGTCGAAAAGCCAACACTGGTGCCAAAGTGAGTTGCACCACCCACAAAAACGGGAGCTGAGATGGCCCTGGTGACACCATAGCGAGCTGCAACGTGCAACTTCTTGGAATCCAGTGCAAGTCCGTCAATGGCCCTGGAGAAGACTAGCGGGTTGGGTCCATTGTTGGTCACATCCTCGGCTTCGATCTCGCTGAGACCCAAGGTACCGCCCACAGCTGTGAAAGCTCGCGTCAAGTAACCATTTTTGAGAGCAATGGTCTTTGCATCAGTTGCGATCGCAGCATCGAACTCGGAGTCACAGTTGCCAATGCAAGAGATTTTGCCCTTGGAGACAACCACGTTGACAGGCTGACCCTGAGATTCGTAAGTCTTGCCATCTTCGAGAAGCACCTTGGTGACACCAGTGAAGAGGACGTTATCAAGCTTGCTTGGCTCCTCTACAATTTCGGCAGGCTTCTCGATGGCTACAGAAGATTCATGTTGCTTAGACAGCTCGATGGGGCTTTCAAACTGAGCTGTTCCGTCAATCCAGACCTGAACAGGAGCTGCGCCAACACTGAGAGGGTCGCTATCCCAGACAACAACATCGGCATCGAAGCCAGGCTTGACCTTGCCCAGTCGCTTGCCCATACCAAGCAGCTCGGCGGGCGCAGATGTGACACTAGCCATGGCAACGTGATATGGAAGACCGTAATGGTGTCCCTTGGCTGCTTCAAAGAGGACGTGCTGCGCATTGATGACAGGGTTATCACTGACGTATACGACTGTGAGGTTGTTTTCATTGAGGATCTTGCCAGCGTACTCGGAGCCGATATAGGCTTCAGTCTTGTAAAACATGTTGTCAGCGAAGAGAGCTGACGCAGGAGCGCGTCCTCCCCAGGTCCTCTTCAGAATCTAGAATGACTGTCAGTGCAAGTCAAAGACGTTTATGTAAAAGACTGACCTCTGGGACTAGGTACGTCTGATGGGCATGGTGGAAAGCTCGAACAGCGAATTTAAACTCATTGGTATGGTCAACCATGGCCTCTAGGTCAGGAATAGTATAACAATGCGTGTTGATATGGACCTGGCCACGGAGAGCAGCGGTCAGAGATTCCCAAGCAATCTCGCCAGGAAGATACTCATCCAGAGACTCAACGCCTTGGGACTCAGCCTTGGCACACCAGTCATCCTGCTTCTGAATCAGGTCTCTGGCCTGCTCAAAAGCATGTCGGAATTCGTAGCTTTCACCCATACGGCTGAAAGGTCTGTTTCCAACGCGGCCATGAACATTCTTGGCATTCTCACCGCAAGCCATTTTCATGTACCGCCAGTTGCGATCAGGGTCGGCCAGTAAGTCCTGGGCGCTGATTTCTTTGCGGCCATCTGGTTTGCCGACAGCATGCTTGATGAGATAGGCTTCTCCGCCAATGTTGTTACCGGAGCCTGGTAGGATGAGTGAAGTCGTAACACCGCCTGATTTGATGACCTCGATTTGAGGATCCAAGGGAAGAAGCGAGTCGATGGCGCGGGCCCAGGGTGTGATGTTGTCTGACATCTCATTGCCATCAGAGTTACCATTGAGAGAAGGTAGCGGGTACACGCCAGCATGACTATGCGTATCGACAACACCGCTCGTTAATCGGCGACCATAGGCCTCGTATACAACAGTGTTGTCGGGCAAGGAATCAGTCTTAATATCTTTCTCGACACGTTGAATGAGACCCTTCTCTAGAAAGACATCACCCTGCACCCACTCCCAGCCCTTTCCAGAACGCGCATCCTCTTGACTAGTTCCCTCGGCAGGCTCTCCAATCCAGATAGTAGCGTTCTTGATCAGAGTTGGCTTGCCACCATCGATATAACGGGCATTCTTATCTCGTCCAAGACCAGCGGGGTCCTGGGGCTTGACATGGAACTTCTTGCACGTCTGCAGGTCCTCATTTAATTTCTGGACAGATAAAGTGGTTCCCTTTCGCGGTGAAATTTGTCGCCATTGAGCAAAGACGATGAATCCAAGACATGCCAAAGCAAAGAGTCTGATGGCACGTGAACGACGCAACGATCGCCTGCTCCTCTGTTGCTGTTGGCCAACGGGCGCTGGCAGCGAGATGGAGCTATAAGGCGGAAGTTGAGCCTTTTCATCCATTGTCGCTTCTTTGCTTGAAGCTTCACAATATTCAATGGCTAATATTTCTTGAACAGTAGATGTAAGAGGAAAGAGGAGATATGAGCTTCGGAATGAAGATCACCAGCTCCTCATTGATAAGAGTTCCTGGATGTCTCGGATATTCAATCAGGTAAAGAGCGGCGGAAGCTACCTAGCCCGGCTTACAGTGATTGGTCTCCACTATGGCGAGCTATCTGTAGCGGGGAATGCAGTAGCTGCCAGGGGGTTCATAGCTCTTGCACCTGCTGTAAATGGGCGGGCAGAACGTCCATCACTGGAACTTTTGTATTTGAGCTTCGTTTGGAGTCAGATAACAAGTGGTGATCTGCTATTCAATGTTCATTCAGCTAAATAGTTAAAGTGAGAGAGTGATGGCAGTTTAGAAGTGAACTAGTGTTTCTGATTTGCCCACACTGGAGGAAATAGCATGGGACTGAGAGATATCGGTATCATGGTGTAAAGTATGGCCATGGCTATGGCTATGGCCAACTTGAATGATAGAACCATAGACGTACAGGCAGGAGAGACAGCATTATAGTAGCAGTGGTGAAGCTGGAACGAAGGCAAACAATAACAAACTATTTCTAGCTGTTCTATGTGGTCTGTCAGACCCCAGGAAGCTTGATACACTTTGTTTACACGTCTAAACGGTTCAAAGGTTAAAGTCCCATGTTCCACCACAGTTACTTCTATCAAGTTCCCTTGCTCGACTAAATGCAAGCACGTCAAGCGATCACTTTAAACTAAAGTTTGGGGTAAGTTGATAGCCGGGTCCGTTCACGCTCGGTTGTTATTTCTCGATCGTGATCCGACCTCGTGGCTAAATGTGTTCGCTTCAGGGTATAGCAAGCATCTGTCCCACTTGGAAACCCTCCCAGTTTTGTTCCTTGTCAAGACGGAAAACAAAGTTGATTAATTGTTTATTGTTTACGAATGTTTGTGGCGTTGTAGAGTTAATTGATTAACCTTCCAAGAGAACAAAGTGGTTTGTGAGCTCGGGACAACGTTCGTTTGTGTCTTATGATTGCTTGTTATTTATATTTATGTACATACAGACCTAGGGTCGAGACCGTTGAATATCCACTTGGAAATAAATGGTAAGCGCCGTACAAGGTTATGGAAGGCTGAGTATCTGTTGCTGGGTTATTAACAAATCCTACGTGTGACAGTAACTAGACTTGGCAAGTGGAAAGCTGTTGTTGTTTTATTCTACTTTATTCTGCTATATGAAAGCTATAGAGATGTTGATTATTTTGGCTGAGTCGGGTCAGAATGTATCTTTGCGATAATAAGAACAACCCCACTTACTAAAGATATGCAAGAAATAACTTAATTGATTGCCCTCCATCTCCCAGTCACTGAAACAATGCGGGTGTGGTTAGAGACAAATGTCCGAGATGGCTTTGTTGCTGTGCCAACAGAACGACGTAATTTGTTTGGGTCGGCCAGCTAAGCTTCCCCCACCAAATTATGTACATACCCATACCCGTACCCGCACTTGCCTTGCCAGATCAAAGCTCCGCTCACTCCGTACCTGACTTGGTTGAATTTATTGTACGACAACGTCTCAGAAAAGGAGTTAAACCGAACATCTTACATTCATTCTCTTATTGTATCCTCCTTTGGAACGTTCTTGTTTCTGTTTGTTTCTTAACCTCGCGACTTTTGTCTTTAACTCGTGAGCGGTCACACTAAACCTACACCGACCATTGACTTTGCATACAGCAACGCCTCGTTGATATCAAAGTTCCAGCTACCGCCCAAATAAGACGCCATCAACATTGATTTTGCCCGACGTTCGCAGCTGCTCAGTACGCGATTCGGATCTTTCTCAGCGGCAGTGGCCGTAGAGATACAAGGTATCCTTCGCTTTGTACTCTGCCATAGTTCGACCAGGCTCGTGTTCAAGTTGTCGCAATCAACTACCCGTGTCCGCATTCCAACCTCACACACACAATGGACCCGAATATGTCGCGCCCACCCGACTACAGCCTCCCGCCATACGATGACGAGGACCTTCACCACACGCCTACAGGTTACAGTCCCGCTGCTGTGAGACTGTTGACATCAGAGGAACACTACGACCCTCATCCTCACACGTATGTACCACCCTCATCACCCAGCCAGAATCCTATTCCAATTCAGACATCTCCCACACACCCTGCCTCTTCAAACTCTCCTTCGACCTCCCCTTCACCCTCAAAATTAACTCCTCCTCCTCCTCTCAACCCTCCAGTAGAGTTTCCTCTTCCATTATTTGCTTCACAAGCAGATCTCGACATGTCTTCAGAAGCAGGAGAACGGGCCTTCAAGCCTGAACCTGGTCAGCAAGATAACACTCGAGCGAACATTCAAAACCAGCAAGAACAACCTTTACCCAACCCTCCTTCATACTCACGTTCTATGGCCGAATCTCAATCCCTGTTGCCTAACAGGCCAGTTGATGGCGGTCCAGCTGCAAAGTTGCAGAACAGGAACAGAACTAGCATCCACGTCGCCTTTGCAGATCTACCTACGGATCTACCAGAGATTCCCGAGGGGATTAGCGAGAGACGTAGGGTCCACAAAGAACATCAACACCTTGGCTTAGAGGCGAATCCAACTGTCCCTCCTCGTCCAGTCAGTCGCTTAAAGAACACAAACTCACATGACCAAATTCCCAGTATCCGAAGTCCTCGAAATCTCAACTATCAACCCAGCGTCCGCTCATCAAGATCTGGTTCCATCTTCGACGATGCTCCGTCGTTGGGTCCCCCAGGCGGAGGTTCTTACATGTCCTATGATACACGAGAATATGGCTCTCCCCAGCGACCATGGACGCCCTCGTCCCGTATGTCTGACTTCACCAGATCCGATCTCTCGAGACCTCCCCCAAACAATGACATGTATGAGCCCTCCGATTTGAACGGAAGCCCCAGACCTGGAACACCCTCATCGAGATACGGCGGCAGTCCGCGACGACCTCTCCCCCCTGCGCCTCTTTTCCACAGCTCAAGACAAGCCGTTCCACCATTCGCAGATGATGCGACTGTCTCTATCCCCTTGCACGATCCTATGGACGACGATGTTTTCGGCCCTGAATCTGACCTGAGCGACGCCCGGCCTCATCCGGTTGACCGCAGCTCTTACATGTCTGCAGAGTCTCAAGACACACTAAACGAAGGCGACCCCGATGACTACGACAAGTTTGAGCACTATGGTCCCGCCCCCACCGGCGCCCAAGAAAGAAGAGGTGTTCGTGCTCCTCAAATGGCAAGGAAAGAGGTTCAGCTCATCAACGGTGAACTGGTGTTGGAGTGTAAGATCCCGACAATTCTGTACAGTTTCTTACCTCGACGTGGTGAAGTTGAGTTCACCCACATGCGTTATACCGCTGTCACATGTGACCCTGACGACTTTGTTGAAAGAGGCTACACACTGCGACAAACCTTCGGTAAGACAATCAGAGAGACTGAGCTGTTTATATGTGTCACCATGTATAACGAAGATGAGATCGGCTTCACTCGAACCATGCACGCCGTTATGAAGAACATCTCACATTTCTGTTCTCGCACGCGCTCCCGTACTTGGGGTGAGACTGGATGGCAGAAAATTGTCGTTTGCATTGTTTCAGACGGTCGTGAAAAGATTCACCCTCGTACCCTGGATGCCCTTGCTGCTATGGGCGTTTACCAACACGGCATCGCAAAGAACTTCGTCAACAACCGTGCTGTGCAGGCTCACGTTTACGAATACACAACTCAGGTCTCTCTCGACTCCGATCTCAAATTCAAGGGTGCCGAGAAGGGCATTGTTCCCTGCCAGATGATTTTCTGTCTCAAGGAAAAGAATCAGCGTAAGCTCAACTCGCACCGTTGGTTCTTCAACGCATTCGGCCAGGCTCTCAATCCCAACGTCTGCATATTGCTAGATGTTGGTACCCGTCCCAGTGGCACATCACTGTACCATTTGTGGAAGGCTTTCGATACCGACTCCAACGTCGCTGGCGCTTGTGGAGAGATCAAAGCCATGAAGGGCAAATTCGGCGTTAACCTACTCAACCCTCTCGTTGCGTCTCAAAACTTCGAGTACAAAATGTCTAATATTCTTGACAAGCCCCTGGAGTCTGTCTTTGGCTACATTACAGTCTTGCCTGGTGCTCTGAGTGCCTATCGATACCACGCGCTTCAGAATGACGAGACTGGCCACGGTCCTCTCAGCCAATACTTCAAGGGTGAGACTCTGCACGGACAACATGCCGATGTCTTCACTGCCAACATGTATCTCGCTGAAGATCGTATCCTCTGTTGGGAGTTGGTAGCCAAACGTAACGAAAGATGGGTTCTCAAGTACGTCAAGGGATGTACTGGTGAAACTGATGTGCCTGGTAAGAAACCCCCATATAAGCCAACCTCAACTTCACAGCTAACGCAAACCAGATACTGTTCCCGAGTTCATCTCTCAGCGACGTCGATGGCTCAACGGTGCCTTCTTCGCTGCTGTTTACTCCCTCGTCCACTTCAAGCAGATTTGGTTCACAGATCATACTTTCGCTCGCAAGATCCTCTTGCACATGGAGTTTCTGTACCAGTTCATCCAGCTCATGTTCACCTTTTTCTCCCTGGCCAACTTTTATCTCACTTTCTACTTCGTCGCAGGTGGTTTGACAGATCCCAAGATCGATCCCTTTGGGCACAATATTGCTACTGTCATCTTTCACATCCTGCGATACTCATGTGTGCTCCTTATATCAACGCAATTCATCCTATCGCTCGGTAATCGACCTCAAGGTTCCAGGAAGCTGTACCTTGCCAGTATGATTATTTATAGTATTATCATGATGTACACGACGTTTGCAACATTCTACATCATTATTCGCCAACTCACTTCGAAAGATGACGACATCAAGATGGGCGACAACGTCTTTACCAACATGATTGTATCCATCTTATCGACGATCGGCATGTATTTCATCATGTCAATCATGTATCTGGATCCAT